TTTTTTTTTTTTTTTTTTTTGTTTGTTGGCTCTCCTTTTTTTTTTTTTTTTTTTTTTTTTTAGATATCTTTATTTTCCTTCTAGGACATCTCATGATTACAGTCCTTAAAATTTTTAGTAATGTGACTTTTTTGTATTTCTAATGAGTATTCCTCTGTTCTCTAACAGGTTGACAGTCATAGAGAAGACAGCTGAATTTATTTCTGTTATGGCTGGGGCAAACAAGGTTACTGTTCATGCAATTCCATTTCGTGTAGATTTGTTCTCTGGAGATCAACTAGTCATATCTGTGAATGCAAGGGGACTTATGAAATTCGAACATATACGTCCAAAGCCAGAACAGTGAGTATGCAATATATATGAATTCATTTGAGGGACAGCTGTGTCTTTATTCATTATGGCAAGGTTAATTAATTTTTTAAACCAAGAGATAATCTTAAATATATCTTTGTAAAAGGAAGTGTAATTGTAGAATAAATGATTTGCTTTGTTGAACTGGCAGATTTGTTGTAGTAATAATAAAAAGTCTTTCACTAGACTTGTATTGATTAAAACAGATTTATCATTATAGGTATTCTGCTATTATTTTGTTTATAGCAGGTTTATAAATAGTGGTGTTTCCCAGTTTTTTCACAGCTTGTAAGCATAGGGAGGGAGCTACAAATATTATAGTGTGAAATAAATTAATATGATGGAAAACCATCAAGAGTCGTGTTGGGTTTGAGGTTCTGACAGTAGTGACCGAAGAGTGCTATCTTAAGGCATGATACAGCATGAAGCCTAGCAGAAGTTTACGATCATGTTGGAGGAACATACTTCCTCCATCTTTACTCTTGAATAGTAAGCCAAGCAAATAACCATCAAGAAGCAGCAAACAGAGCAATCAGAGTCTTAGTATTCACGAAAGTGGATAGATGTGGACCTGACAACATTTTACATTAGTTCAAAATCTTTTCATATTATAGGAACAGAAATCCATTGCTTTCAGGACTTTCTTATTATAGGTATGCATATCAGTTTAATGTTTACATTTTAGCTGAGGATAAGCAGAAAATTTAATATCACATGACCTGTGCTCATTTTTATATTGTTTTCTTTTTTAAATCTGTTGCCTTCAGCAGTTCTGTGCACTGTAGACTTCGGTGTGTATGCAGCATTATCATTATTGAGTGTAGGCCTACGAAGATTTTAGTACAATAGATTTTTAGAAAATAGAGGAACTTCTGTCAGAACTAGAATGTGACTAGATGGTGACTACAGAATCACAAATTTGCTTTTGGAGATAATAACTGATGACTTAAAAACCTCAATAATATTGTATTTAATTATGCAATATATTGTAAATTTCAAAGTTGCTGTAGTTTTCCAAGCAGCAGAATAATATTTCATGTCCTTTTTAATGTATATAATTTTAAATAATTTAATTAAAATTTCAGGTTTGAATTGGATACATTAATTCATTAATTTAGTTAAAAAAATATTGTAAAATATTTTATACCCCATTCATCTGCAAGTTTTATATGTACAAAAATGAGCATTGTACTGTCATGAATTAACAAGGTTAGAATTTATGTGGTTTTACTTTTTAGGTGCATTGTCAAAAATAACTTCAGAATTCACTTGTTAGTTTCATCACAGTATGGGAGAGCTACACTGAATTTTGTTCATTCATTATATGAATTTGGTGTAGTGTAGATCATTTCAAGGGTCATGGATTCTTCATATGTATTTTCAGAATCTTTTGACAAATATGATAAAACTTGGTGTACAGTGTATGGTACTTACATGAGAATTAACATGTTTGCTTTAACTGATTTCATTTTGAGGGCCACTTTACATAAAGATCTACCATATACAGGGTGTCCCAGGAGGAATGTGCCAGACTTCGGGAGGGTGTTCCTTATGTTAAAGTATTCTGATATAACCCAAAACACCTATGTCCAAAGTTGAACAGTTACAGAGATAATGGCCAGAGAAGTGTGAAACTTTGACAGGTGTTAAGACACTTGTTGATTACCAAATACATATTAAACCTGGCAGGAATATGTGGTTTCTATAATGTTAATAATGTACGTAACATCAAACTAACTTGTGAGTGACATGAAGCCATTAAATTGAACTACAAAAAACTTGCACGCCATGTCAAAGTTGTCGTTAGAGTTTCAAGCACTATACATGACACATGAATGGCAAGCACTGACGTAACATTGCTGACTGCGCGTTCTGGTATGCGAGTGTATGGGGCCAACGTGAGCTCTCATCACCACACTCAAGGACAAACATAGATAAGACTTGTCAGCTGACAGGTACAGTGCGTGGACCCGCCGGAAGACCACACTTTTCTCAGGCCATTATCTCCATAACCATTCAACTTTGGACATAGGTGTTTTGGGTTTTATCGCCATAATTTAACATAAGGAACACCCTCTCGAAGTCTGGCACATTCCTCCTGGGACACTCTGTATACTGGCATATAAGATGACCAGTTACACTTAAGAACAACCACCAAAAATTAGGGGTTGTCTTACACAGGAGGAATAAATTGTGAACCTTAATTCCTTAACTGCTACTTGATGCTTAACAATTACTATGTGTCACTTAACATCATCATCATTGATTAGGCCATGATTGGTCTGTTCCATCCACTTAAAAGAGTATTTTGGACCCACCACCTTCATTGTAAATTTTGTCATCTAATTGGGTTGTACGTTACAATTATCTACAGAATTCATACATCTTTCACTTGTAGAACATGATGTTTCCATTCTGATCCAGATTTTAAAATTTTTATTATTTAAATAAAAAAATACTTACTTCTTCCCTAATTGTAGTATTTCTACTCCTCAAAAATTTTGTTTCTGAAGTCTGAAATTCCCACCATAATTATTTCTAATTAATGCTCATGTTTAACATAATTAACACAGAGATTATAATGAAGTAATATATATTGGGAAAGCATGACCACAGTTACCACAACTGCTAAGTCGTCAAGATGAACTCAGAATGCATACCATTTGCAGCAGCTAATGCAGTGTAAGCAAATACAGAGTCAGGCAGCAGCCCAGACAGGTACCAGTATAGGTGTGATGTTCTGTGATTATTTATAACAAGCTTTCATCTCAGGTCATCACTTGCACACTGAGGTTATAATATTTAAAGCATGACAAAATTACTGTAGTACTGAGACTCCATTGCTGTGGGAATGAAATATGAATCATGTTTCTAGTTAGAAGTAGTTGCAATTACCAGGTCATCTAGTGACTGTGCTGCTGCCCAGGAATTTGATGTGACAGAAAACACTGTAGAAGACTGGAGAAAAAACTGAAGATCTGTTAAAGTGTATGCTCAAAAATATATGTACCAGTATGAGAGGCACCACATAGTGGCCAGATCTTGAGAAACATGTGACACACATGGCCAATAAAAATGGTCATCTTACCTGGCAAATGTAGCCCTAAACTTAATTTTTTTAGTGACAGTTCAGAGGTTGGTATACGAGGGGGTACCCAAAAGAAACCAAACTTAATTTTTTTTAAACTTATTTATTCAAATTTTAAGCACAAACCTTCAATCCCCTTCAAACTACTCTCCACCTACACTAATACACTTGTCTAGTCTTTTATTCCATTTTTCAAAACATTGTCTAAATTCATCTTTTGAGATGCATGACAGCGCCTCCGTCGTTTTTTCCTTTCATGTCTCTTTTCATTTGAGGAAACAAAAAAGAGTCGCACGGGGCAAGGTTGGGTGAGTATGGAGGGTGAAGAACAGGGGTCATACCATTTTTGGTCAAGAACTGTCGTACAGACAGGGCTGTGTGAGCAGGGGCATTGTCATGATGGAAAAACCAGTCACCCGACTACCACAAATCTGGCCGCTGAGCTTCAAGTCACTCCCGACAGCTCCACAATTTCTTCAATGGTCCGTCGTCGATCTTCCTTGATGATTTCACGAATTTTTTCAACATTTTCATGTGTTCAGGCCATGGAAGGACTACCAGAACGAGGTTTGTCATCAATTGACATGTCACCATTTTTGAAATGGGAAAACCACTCAAACACTTGAGTTTTCCCCATAGCATCATCCTTGTACGCCATTTTTAACATTTCAAGAGTTTCTGTTCCACTTTTTCCGAGCAAAAAGCAGAATTTCACCGCCACACACTGTTCACGAAAATCAGCCATTGCAAAAACGACGATCACACAAAACAGTTGTCACTCTAAACTTTGCCGAAACTAGTCCTTACCTTCTGAAGCAACGGTAGTCGGCTTATCGACTCAGGAATGTTAGCTCTATGCGCTCATAGTGGCAAAACGCGGTACTACAAAAGCTCTGCCCACAAAAAAATTAGTTCAGTTTCTTTTGGGTACCCCATCGTATATGCCAGTATATGTGGTAATTGAACTCTGCATATATTGTCTTTAACCCTTGACAGATTGTTATATAATTTCATGTGTGGTGTGTATACAAGTATTACTGTTTTATGCACACTTTAAGTAACTGTAAGAGAGTTTTTTATTAAACTCCATATATTGCACGTATATATTGTAAGATATAAGGAAGGATAATACCATTTGAATATTAATATGTATTTCATTCATGTGAGTTTTTTATTAAACCCACATTACTTATGGGCCTAAACACAGTTCGGGACTCTTTCTGTCTTAACAGGAATCCAATAGATACATGTTATATCTTATATGATGTTTACATAATTACACAACCTGTTAAGCATATGGTATCAACAGTGTTATCAATCCTGCTATCTCCTGGCATGTAGTTCATGTGTGTTCAGTTTTTAACAGTGCAGATACCTGTTCAGTAAACAAACATAACATGTCAGCATTTCACGCTTTTTTTTGCCACTTGAAGGTTGCATTTGCCGTCCTTTTGTGTATGTGTGTTTCAGAGAGGGAGGGGGAGAGGGAGACTGGTAAACATCCAATCTCTACAGTAAACTTCGGCCTGTGGGCTTACAGACAAACTCTCTTAAGAAACCAGCAGTTTATCAGGCACTCAAGAAATTTACAGCAATTTATGGAACTGACGGTTCATTACCATGGCCACAAGAGCCTGCCAGTGGTCCAAGTTCTGAGCAACATGAATCCAGTCCACACCCTCACATCCTATCTTTGAAGTTTGTTTTGATATTATCGTACCTATGTCTAGGTCATGTTAATGGTCTCTTTCCTTTAGGTTTTCCTGAAAAACTTTGTATGCTCCCCTCCCCCATATACTAAATTCTTTGCCCATGTCATCCTTGATTTGGTCATTCTACTTGCCACGAGTGTAAATTATGAAGCTCCTTTTAGCTACGTATGTATTGTGATTTTGTCCTTCATTCTGGCGATGAGATATCAACATATGCAATGTATGCTTTTAGGCTGGCCTTACTAACATCTGTTAGAGCTTCTTTGTTTTTTTTTGGGGGGGGGTTATGTTATGTTTTATGTTATGATGGAAGGTGTACTAGTGAAATTAAATCCAGGATTGCCATGGCAAAAGCTGCATTTAGCAAGAAGAAGAATCTTTTTACCAGCAAATTGGACTTAAATTTGAGGAAGAAACTAGTGAAATGCTACATTTGGAGCATAGCTCTGTATGGGGCTGAAACATGGACACTTAGGGCAGTAGATCAGAAACATCTGGAAAGTTTCGAAATGTGGTGTTGGAGAAGNCAGAAACTGCCTTCTAAAAGAAGTTATCGAAGGAAAGATAGAGGGGCGGATAGACGTGACAAGAAGATGTTGTATGACCTTGAAGACAGAAGAGGATACTGTCATTTGAAGGAGAAAGCTCTAGATCGCATTAAGTGGAGGAATTGTTTTGGAAGAGACTGTGGACCTGTCGTCTGACAGATTACTGATGATGATGATGATGATTATTATTATTATTATGTTATACCCCAGTAAATTATCATCATCAGCATAGGCCATAAACTGATATGTCCCATTCAGTTTTAATCCTGCCATGTTTTCATGGACCTTCCTAATGACACATTCTGAAGCAAAGTTGAAAAACAATGGTGATAAAGCATCTTCTTGTTTCAAACATTCATGAATAAGAAATGTTGAATTGAATGTATTTTGCTGTACGTTGAATTTAAATGCATTTTAATTCATTTGACTTGTTTCATTCTGGTCCGTCACACTCATATTATGAAAAAGTAAAATAGTTCCGTCCAGTGTGACTGATTAAGATTTTCTTATTTCAATTATTCATGCCCTTATATGTTTTAGTCTTCAGAGAACATCTTCAGAAGGACACCTTTACATCAATACTGTTAGAAGCCACCATTACAGTACATGTTCTAAAAGTTAAAATATATACATACAATATAAACAGTATACAACTGGCTGTAAAATCTAAAGTCTTTACAACTACAGTGGCTGTTCCAATACTTTAAAATATTTATAGTTAGTTTGTTAAGATGCTATTGGAATTCGTAAACCAAGCTGGTTCGTGTCGTCCCTCTTATTATTTCTTTTAATGGGGGCTGAATGTGTGCCACATTGTCATTCTTGAGAAGAGAGTTCTTTAATGTTGTCCTGTATGTGTTTGTGCCCCCTCGTTGATGTCTCCACCTTATCCTGGTGAGGGGGTTTGAGAATGCCAAGGACCCTGAGAGCTATACTAGCAGTAGCGTAGCTACTGGCAGGGCCTCCCTTGCTGGACAGGTGAAAGGGTAGGCATCAGACGAAGAGAGACACCAAAAACCAAAAACTGATGCCAGAAGCAGCGTCATCAGCAGCAACTTGAAGCACAGAGCAAATGATGCTCAAGATGGTTCAAGTTTGTATAGCAACAGGCGTGACCAGAGTGGTTTGAACGGCTGTTGTACTGCAATATGGAAAGCAAATGGAAAAACTACCACATTATCACTTTTCCTGGATAGTCTCTTTCCAAAAGCAGAATATTGCATTAAGTGGAGGAACTGTTCTGGAAGAGACTGTGGATCTGTCGTCTGGCAGATTACTGATGAATGAATGAATGAATGAATGGATGAATGAATGTGTTTGTGGCCCGCTGTGTTGTTTTTACTATAAGAACATTCAGCCCCATCAAAAGAAGTAATAAGAGGGACGACACGAACCAGCTTGGTTTACGAATTCCAATAGCATCTTAACAAACTAACTATAAATATTTTAAAGTATTGGAACAGCCACTGTAGTGGTAAAGACTTTGGATTTTACAGCCAATTGTATATTGTTTATATTGTATGTATATATTTTAACTTTTAGAACATGTACTATAATGGTGTCTTCTAACTGTATTGATGTAAAGGTGTCCCTCTGAAGATGTTCTCTGAAGACCGAAACATGTAAGGGCATGAATAATTGAAATAAGAAAATCTTAACCAGTCACACTGGAGGGAACTATTTAACTTTTTCATTTTAATTAGCCTGAATAATAGGCTTTCTTGAACTCTTTTAAGTACCTGGTGTATAGTCTCATTGTACTCTAATTTTTTTTCTGCATTGTGTGGTAAATGCGAAAATTTAGTCAGTAATTCATCTCTTACATGGAAACCCACTGTGATGATCCCTAATTATTTCATCTACATGTGGAGTTAACCCTTATACAAGGGTATCAAGAGAGTTTGATATGTTCTTCTGCACTTGATTTGTAAGATAGTATTATGAGAATATATGGTCACAGAACTTGAATGTATCATATTCTGTAGTATACTTGTTCTTGAGAAGTATGGCTATTGATCTAGAAATTTCTTAACATCACTAAATTTTAATTGTTTCCTTAAGATATGGGCATGAATTTGCCGTCATGTTACTTATGATGGTAACATGCTGTAACATTAGTATTTCCATTATCACCAGAAAAGCTGATATGATAAAGTAAGAATTAAATAAATCTGTTATTGGCATTGTTGTGTTTTTGTTTGCAGAAATGAAGCTGGAGAAAAGATTGAAGATGAAGGTGGTCCACACATTGATGACACCCTGTCAGATCCTGGTGCATGGGAAGAAAATTTCAAGTCTCACCATGACTCAAAGCCAAATGGGCCCACAGCTGTGGCATTAGACTTTTCATTTAATGGTGCTCATTATGCATATGGCATACCAGAACATGCAGATTCATTTGCTCTGAAATCAACAAAGTAAGTTATGTCTTGTTTCATCAGTCATTATTTTCCACACCCTTTTTGCTGCAGAACCTTTTGCTGAATGTGAGGGTTTCATTATATTACATAACGCTAGTAAGGAGACTGGTCTATAAGTAAACACAGAGAAAACTAAGTATATGTTGCTGTATTGTCGCCAGAGTGCAGGGCAAAATCATGACATGAAGACAGCTAACATATCCTTTGAAAATATGGGGCATTTCAAATATTTTGGATTGACAGTAACATGTCAAAATTTTATTCCGGAAGAAATTAAGAAGAGATTGACTTTGGATAATACTTGCTCCATAAAACATTGGGAAATTCTTGAATAGCTGTGCAAGTGGCAGCTTCTCAAGAAGGGCTCAGCTCCTTGAAGTTGGTTGGTCGATTGTTGAGAACATAGATTCACAATTCTGCATTGGTAATCTCTGTTTTATGGCAGTGTAGCACCACAAAAACATAAGCCTACCATTCAGTTCTATCTTGAACCATTGCAGGTCAGAAACTATGTTACTGTATGCAGTGTATTTCTATTATTAATGTTTTGCTGTTTATGTATGTCATTATGAGAGAAAATTGTTTAGCAGATTATATAGACTACACAGTATTTTACACAATTATATTAAGTTCATTGATAAAACTTGTTTACTTAATTATGTTATAAATTTTTTCAACAAATATATGCCTCACTTTAAATTATTGTATGGTATGAGAATCTGTTCATGTGGTTTGATTGCCTGATTGTGAAAGTACAGCCTAGATATTAAATTTGAAACAATAACTGGTTTAAATTCTGTTGTTTGATGAATACAAAAATGGGTTACAAATTATCGCCAAGATTCTTCTGTTAATGGAACATTAATTTCATCTTTCTTTGCTTACAGGAATATTGATCCATACCGACTGTATAACCTGGATGTGTTTGAATATGAACTGAATAATGGAATGTCGCTTTATGGTTCAGTACCTGTTCTTATAGCACATGGGTGAGTATGTACAATGTTTCTAATAGGTGTGGTTATATCTCAGTTTCATTATTTGTCACTTTCTGAATTGACAATGCCAGCCAGACTGAACACATTGAAGTCATTTACAAACAGATTTACAACCTTAGGTCAGGACAGCAAACATTGTTCAGAAGGTTTTCTGTCTGCAGTGGAACATCCCATATTTGTGACTCTGCTGTCTGAAGCTCCTATTGTCCATAACAGATGAAGCAAAAATTTCAAAAAGTGCCTGCTAGAATTTAAAATATGTGCCTCAACTCCTACTGACTGCCACAGTCGCCACTACAGTCAGGGCAACAGATGTGACTACACATGGCATTGTTTTCAGAGTTCATGGCTTGAGTTCCGGTGAAAGTGACCAATGGCAATTTTGACATACATTTTCTGTATACTTGTAGTCCTTTTTTTTAAATTTCTGTTACAGTATGCATGTATTTCTTTCATTATTTTTGTAATATTTATACCAGTCCCTTTAATGAACTTCTGTTATCTGAAATTTTCTAGCATTCGAAACAACCTGTTTCACCACCTTTCTGGATATGGGTGTTCCACTGTATTTGGAATTTTCAAATGAAGATACTGATTCTATTTTACTCCTGAATTTTTATATGTGTGTTACTCTGCTATCATTGTGTATGTGCTGTGTAGCCTTAGTTGGGTTCAGTAATTTGCATCTAGCATGAGATTTCTATAGGAATTTCTCTCACAAGATGAAAATGTATATTTCCAAATTCAATAAATATTCATTGAATCTTACGTGATTTGACTTCAGATAATTGTGGAAGTTTTATGACACCAGCTGGCATGCTAATATGCTAATAATATCTGTTGCAGGAATACCCATACAGCTGGCATTTTCTGGTTGAATGCGGCTGAAACATGGGTAGATATTTTGGGTACAGCTGACCAGAATGTTGTTTCATCAATAGTGAATTTTGTGTCAGGATCAGCCACTCCTCCCCAAGTTGATACTCACTTTATGTCTGAGAGTGGCATCATAGATACATTCTTCATGCTTGGTCCAAAGCCAAAGGATGTGTTCCGACAGTACACAAGACTGACTGGAACCACCCCATTACCTCAGGCAAATATCATTTTTTGTTTCACTAACCTGGTAGTTATGCTTGATTTTAAGAATGTGAAATTTTAATGGTTCAGTGTTTTAAGAGGTCTGTCTTCTGGGATATAATGCTGTTAGTCTATTGAAGGTCAGCCAACATTTCACAACATTTCAGAGGGACATTTCACCTCCACCTTTATGGTCCAAGAATAAGCCAAGCAAGAAATCAACATGAAGCAGGTAGCAAGCAGATCTCTGAAACTTTTGTTGGCTTTCAACAGATTACACAGTTTTATATTCCAGAAGAATGACATCTTCATAACCACCGCTTTGAGAACCTCAAATCCTACACAGTTCAGTATTTTATTTGAGAATTTTTACACATTTTAGAGTCATATGCAGAGAAATTTGGAAGTAAAAGAATTAGTCTGTAGAAACAGCAAAAGGTGGGCTGTGACAGTAAAAGTAAAAGTAAAGCTATCTCTGTAACAGGCCATGAAGGCCCATAGAGTTCAGAGACATCTAGGCCCCCACATTTTCTCTTGGAAATCAGCTCATAGATGGCAGTAAGGTTGTCAGCCATATGCACCAACTGCCCTTTACTCCCCAGGAAGATTCCTGGTACTCATTTATGTTATAGGCTGAGTTGACCCCAGGGCCATAGTGCATCTGGAAGGATTAGGTCAATTGAAAAGAATCCACCTAATCAGGACTCATATCTGCCACCTTCTGGCTTGTAGCATAGTGCCTCAACCAACTACACTACCATGTTCCCTAGGCTGTGACAGTACGAAGCATAATCATTTGCACTTCCTGGTGTATAATAATCAGTAAATGTCTTAAAGAGATACAATTTGCTTTACATTAGTTGTCCTGAGACACATTATGCACACCTGTCTCTCACTCAGACATTATCAACATATTAAAATGTGTTTTAGACAATTCTAAAATATTTTAAATGATAGGAATGTTGTATAGTAATAATAATAAAGAAATAATAAAAATGAACACCCACAGATCTCAAAATGATGGTTTAGTGAAGGGATGAGTGGTTAATTTGATGGATGAGTCATTGAGTAGCATTGGAAAATGGCTGAAAATAATACTGAAGCAAGTGATTGCATTGGTGGAGAAGGGAATGAAGTAATTTAAAAAAATCAGCATTGTTTAGTTTTACATATTGAAGTTGATGATAAAACTTCAGTGGACGTATTCAAATCTGCTGGGACTTCTTTAAAAAACTATCCCTCCTTAGTTATTTCTCAGCAGCAATAGATGCAGAGAAGTGGTTGTGTGGCTGTGACAAATTTCCACTTCTCCATTTGCATTCTGTCACCACCTTCCAAACACTGCTCTGCTCCCCTTCTCTGCACCATCCTTGATTAACCAACAAGCAGTTTGCATTAAAGAGAGTGCCATTACTGGAAATCAGTCAGAATTCATTTGGTGCATTAAAATGAAATCATGTTTTTCAGACAAGTGTATAATAAGGAATATCGATACACTGTAGATATTTTGAGGTCTATCAGAATGTATTTAATTCACTTGAGGTGATATAATATTGATTTATTGATTGTCTTATTGTTCCAGTATTTCGCTTTGGCACATCATCAGTGTCGATGGAATTACAATGATCAGGATGATGTCAGAAATGTTGATAACAAAATGGATGAATATGATATTCCTAATGATGTAATGTGGCTGGATATTGAACATACAGACAGTAAGAGGTATATGTTAACCATGAAGTAGTGTGATGAGCTTCTGTTTCTCCACATCTAAAGTGTTTGATGTAGCAATGCTTGTAGTTATAGATATGAATATTGTAACATGTTGGGTAGGTCACACGACAAGTAACTTCACACCGAATTGGATATAGTGAATTTTATTTCTCACTCGCTCTTACAATCACACCATTTACAATCTCAGAATTACTGCTGTCGGCAGTATCACAAATACTAGACTGCAATTAACTGGTTACTCTTTCTCTAGTAACTGGCTCAATCCTCACTGTCTAATCACTCACTACTAACTGACTGACTGACTGACTGACTACTCATTCTCTGGCTAACTACTGACTAACTGTTGAATAGTGTTCGCTGCTCCTTATTTAGCCTCGTTACGGACAACACAGAAAACAGTTACGTACTAGGCACCGCTGTTGCGTAATGTCGTGTTTACCGACTGCCTAGGAACAGTCGTTGCACGGACTCCCCGCCGTGTTTACAAAGGCGTTGCTGGGCAACGCTGCCAGGAGTTGTTTACAGCTACATAGCAACTGCGGCATCCTGTGTTACGTCACCGTGGCAATGGTTGGCTGGCGACGCCGCTCCTCTGCCACGTCACCACAGGGAAGGGGGTGTTTACCGAGCGTTGCACACTGATGGACGGAGTGGGGGTATGTGGCGTCTCTCGCGAGATCACAGAGTTCATGCAACCCCCACCTCCAGCTACGCCATCCACGTCACAATATGTTTCCTATTACTGTGCAAGAAAACAATCTAAAATAAATGTATTTTTGTTTATTAATACTTGTTCAACGTTTTTGAAATTAATGCAGCTCATTATATCCTGTGAAGGACTCTTTTTGATTCGTATGGAATATAATAGTAAATATATATTCTCTTCATTTTCCAGGTACTTCACATGGGATCCTGTTAAATTCTCTCAGCCCACAGAAATGATTAATAATTTGACAGCCAAGGGTAGAAAGTTGGTGACAATTGTTGATCCCCACATCAAACGAGACAGCAACTATTTTCTTCATAATGATGCAGAAAATAATGATTACTATGTGAAAACAAAAGATGGCAAAGTTTTTGAAGGTGAGTAACTTGTACATGCTTCACAGAGCATGAATAAATGCATAAAAATATTCATTTAAATAGTACACCTCTTTTCTTTGGAAGCCTTGATAACCATTGTGCATGTTATGGTTAGATTAGCTTTCCAATACCTTCAGTCTGTTGTTATTTATATGTGTATCTTTGGTTAGAATGTGATTTGGCAACGTTGAAGTTTGCAGCATAAACTAAGAGAGGTAATTTAAGAACTGACATTATTTTACAAGAGTTTTGCTTATTTTGATCAAGCATAATAAATATCAAAATACTGTACACAACTGCAACTTCCAGAAAGAATGCAGAAGGTGGTGGGGAGAAAAACCTTGCCTGAACCAAAACCCATGTACGACATGATTTGTATTTTTTATGTTATTACTATATCTTATAGTTAATTTTGCAAAATTATATGTAATATGTAATATCCAGCAGAAGGCTAACAAAAGGTTCCCTCATTTTTATAAGTTCTGAACATTTGTGCCATATGTTGTCAGATTCACTTAATTCCTCTTGCAGTGCTGCATGGTGATGTCTTGTTGAAAAATTGAATTTTGTTGTGAGTTGTCACATTTGTTTTGTGGGATTAGAAAGATATGAAACATGTTTGGTTACACAGTCAGTACACCTCAGTTAATTATTTATGATTGCTGTAGGTTGGTGCTGGCCAGGATCTTCAAGTTATCTGGATCTATTGAACCCAGAAATTCGCAGCTATCTTTCTTCACAATATTTGCTACAAAATTACCATGGTTCAACATTGGATCTTTACATATGGAATGACATGAATGAACCATCAGTTTTTAATGGACCAGAGATTACAATGCATAAAGACTCCTTACATTATGGAGGCTGGGAACATCGTGATATTCACAATATTTATGGTTTGCTTAATGTAAGTTCTGTTTTTAAATTATATATGTTTTTAGGAATAGTGGCATGAGATACCACATTCATATCAGTCTTGAAGTTAATTGAATATAGTGACAAAAGATAAAGATGATGTTATGCCTAAGTACTACACCATGAAATTACACATGGAAGTGAGGTAAAGTTCTGTTTTCTTGAGTTCGGCACTAGATAGACGTAAGTAATTAGCTTCCCATTCTGCCTGTTTAACCCTTTCAAGCACAGTGAGCTTATGTACTGCCTGCTTCAACATTAAGAAACTTCCATTTTGTCTACAGAGCTTACTTATGTGTTTATGTTTTTCATAAATAGCATTAACCAGTTGTTCTTTGCAATGGTGAAATATTTTTTCTATGAGGTAGGAGTTGAAATTTTAGACAAATAAACTTCATGCTTGAAAGGATTAACTCAAATATTTGGTAGAGAGTAAATTAGGTGGGCTCCAGAGACATATGGATATGATGGTGATAACAAATTCTTAGCAATTGTGTTAGAAATTTAATTCCAGCCACAGCCACATACTATGTAAGCTGTTATTTCACTTAATATTCTTGTACTTATGTAATGTGTCCTGCAATATGTTTTTGCAGTGTGAATTATATCTAAATTTTTCTTCCAAAAACAGAAGATCGCATTAAGTGGAGGAACTGTTTTGGAAGACATTGTGGACCTGTCGTCTGACAGATTACTGATGAATGAATGAATGAAACAACCCTTCTCTTCTTTTTTTTTACTGTCATTATTGTAATACGTGGTCTGTTCAAAAAGTTTCAGACCTATATTTTTACAATTTTTTCTTACATGCCTGCAACTGAGTGAGCCTTATCACCTTCAGATACTCCCCTCCTGCATTGATGCACCGCTCCCAATGCCATTCCCACTTCTGAAAATAGTCCTGGTACCCCTTTTTCAGGATTGCAAATATTCTGTAATCTCTTGAATTGTCTGAAGTCATTATCCTTTCAAAGTGGATTTCAGATTGGAACTAATAAGAAGTCTGCCAGAGCCAGGTCAGGTGAGTAGGGTGGCTGAGGAAGCACAGTTGAGTTTGTCACAAATCAGTAGCAATGCATGAGCTGGCACATTTTCATGATGGAGGAACCAGGAGTTGTTTCTCCACAACTGAGGTCTTTTTCTCCTGACATTTTCCCTTAGACGTTTCAGCACTTTGAGATAATACCAGCGATTCACTCTTTGCCCCTGACATAAGAATTCAGTTGCACAACGCCCTTTATATTTGAAAAAAAAACGTCAACATTACTTTTGTGCTTGACCTGATCCGCTTCACCTTTTTCAGTCTCGGTGATTTTTTCCAACCCATTGTGAATACTGAATTTTTGTTTTCACATCATATGCATAAAACCGTGCTTCTTTGCCGGTTATAATTCTTTTCAGAAAGTTTTTATCCATGCTAGTGCGATTCAAAAGTTCCTGACAGTTGGCATTGCAACTGTCTCTCTGATCCTGTGTCATAAGTGGTGGAACGAACTTTGAAACCACGCATTGCATTTCTGATTTTGTCATAAGAATGCCATGTTCCTATTGATATGTTGCACTCTTCTGCTATTTCCCGCACTGTCAAATGACTATGAGAACACACGATTTCACGAACTTGTGCAACATGGACGTTTTCATATGATGTTGAAGGCCATCCCAAGTGCGGCTCCTCATGTGTTGACTGCCAATGATCCTTAAATCGCTGTAACCTTTCATAACAATGTGAAGGGCTCATGCATTAACCAGCATAAACATTTTTCATCATTTCATGAGCCTTCATAAACGTTTTCCTTAGTTTGAAGCAAAATTTAATGTTAATACACTGCTCATGAATATCAGCCATCTCAAATATCGCAAGACACACTCTACATGCATGTGAACAAACAGCTCTAGGGCAATGACTAATCAGCAGGATGATGTGACAAAAAGGATGATAATTAGGAAGCACATCACTGGGTAGCACAACTTCCCTGACATTCCTAAGATGTTGAGTTGGCATGCTATTTTAAAAGTTCCAAAACTTTTTGAATCATTCTTAATTTCTCCATGTATTATGTAGGTTAATTTAGTTTCTCAGTTAAAATGCAGGAATTTTGTTTGTTCTAGCCATTCAGTTGTATTTGATCACCCTCCTCTAATCTGTAATTTTGAAACTTGCACTCTTTCTATGTCTATAGCTCAGCATCCTCTCAACATATTGATCTATATGCCTATGTACTGTGTTTGGTAGATATATACTAATGTCATAGATAACAGGAGGTCACTTGTGCATGCCATACCACATTGATGCCACCATATAGAAAACTTTTTGAAATAACCCTTCCACCCCATCACTGTGGTTTAATACTCCCAGTCCCCCAAAAAATATTCCCTTCTGAAAATGATGATGCTTGAATAGTAGAGCAGAATAGCAGCCAGTAAATCCAATATTTATGTGTTTCAGACTGTGTCAACGTACGAAGGCTTACTGCAACGGTCAGATGGTAAACTCCGACCATTCATCTTGACACGATCTCATTATGCGGGCTCACAGCGTTATGCTTCTGTGTGGACTGGGGACAACACAGCAGAATGGGGTCACCTCCAGATCACTATTCCCATGTGCCTCTCGCTGTCTGTGGCAGGGATCTCATTTTGTGGAGCTGATGTTGGTGGATTTTTTAAAAATCCAGATAGTGAACTGTTCTCCAGGTGGTACCAGGTAACCATACAAGGAATATTGTACTACTGGTACCAGGTAACCATACAAGGAATATTGTAATACTGACCCTTTCACTGCCTTTTGAGGATGACATCCAATATTTGAATGCTCTTAAATTGTTCAGAAATAAGGGTTAAGTGCATGTCAGTGAATTTGTAATCAGTAAGTGGCATACTTTTTCCTGTGCATAGTTGCTGTAATAGGTCTGATGTACAATATTGTAAAGAAAATCTTAATAAATATTAATAGAAAGCACTGCAAAGAAGATTTGGTCTTAAAACAAAGAACCCATTTGTGGTTGAAACATTTTCATGATATGCCTACATGAGTTGTCACAAAACATGGAAGTTGATTTCACATTATTTCCAATAGAAGAAACATATTTATCAAGTGAACTAGAAGCATAAACATGAATAACTTGATTTATCAGAAGAATTATCATAATAACTATAAAACCTCATAAATTGAAATTGCTTGGACTGAGAAGTACAAATTTTGAATTAAATAAATTTGAAATAAACAGTTTTCGCTGCAGACTTATCTGCAGAACATGGAATTTTGTACTAGTGATGATGACATTTTGCTGGACTGATAATAAACACTAAGCATCAGTTCCAAAATTGGGAGAAATATGGTCTTTATTATATATAAATGTCTCTGAACTGAAGTTACAAGTTTGGCTTGAACATTACTGAGAACTGTCACCATTCAATATAGGTACTGTAATTCAGTAATCACCCTGCACAAGATTGTTGTTTTCTCCAGGCTGCAGCGTTTCAACCATTCTTCAGAACACACTCTCATATTGATACCAAGAGGCGTGAACCATGGTTGTTTGATGAACCTACATTACTACTTATAAGGGAGGCTATACGCACACGGTATTCATTTCTGCCTCTCTGGTACACATTATTTTTTGAACATGAACAAGATGGTGCTCCTGTTATGCGTCCACTTTGGGTTGAATATCCTTCAGAAGTGGCTACATTTGCTTTGGATGATGAGTATTTGTTGGGTGAGTTGAAACAGATCTGTGTTAATTTATTAACTGTATATTTGTTTATTAGCCTATTTTATGATACTGTATCAGATTTAGAGGTTATGTAGTGTCATATTAAGAAGGATAAGATGACCAAGATTGACGAGTTTTGAAGAGATTTTAGTCAGATGGCTGAGTTACAGCAATAGTTGTAATGTTTGGTAATATTTACTATTGTGTATATAAAATAGTGGAGACAGTTCTTGTAAATTACTTCCAGCTTACATACAAGTTGCTGATACATATATAATTGTAAGATTCTGACAAAAATTATCTTTTTATAAGAATTTGTAATTTGAAATTATTTGGAATCAGGAGAGATTAAAGGGGTTGAGAAGTGAGGATATTAAATTAAATAAAATTTACAGTTTATGCAGCTCTTTAGTATCAGAGTAGTCAAATGAAGAATGTTGCAGTAAGCTACATATGTAGTCCAAATGGGGTAGCAAGAAACATGTGCAGGAGTTTGGTGTGGAAAACTCATATGAACTTAGGTAGGAATTTTAAATTGCTGTAGTACTTATTAATCTCTCGTATAATTTTTCCCTTATATAGTTTTTAAACTCTGTGCCATTTAATATATATGTGAATTGAATCTTGGAAGAATTCTTTGGATGTAGATACTATAAGGTTCTGACGATGGTGTATAACACACAGAAATACTGAGTTTTCAGACTTTGTCCATCGTCTGGATTCTAAATACTAAAAAAAAACAACATTTCAGAAACTGGATCTGTTTCTGTCCTCAGGTGAGGGATGACAGCTAGTCTGTTGGGTCCCTTAGAAAGAGCTAGCCTCAGTCACTGGACCAATCACCACCAGAGGTTGAGGCTAGCTCTTTCTAAGGGACCCAATAGAGTAGGTGTCTTCCCTCACCTGAGGAAGGAAACAGATCCAGTTTCCAAAATGTTGTGTTTTTTCTTAGTTGTTTAGAATCTGGACGATGGACAAAGTCTGAAAACCTAGTATCTCTGTGAATTCTTTGGATGTTTTCCTCCATTGCACATTTTATAAACAATAAGTATTGAAGAAAAATGTCCCATTCCATCACATTTATTGTGTTAGGAAATTCATTCGACATCACTGTGCTGAAAGTAATGATTTTATTGTAGGTGACAGATTGCTTGTACATCCTGTGACACAACCAGGAGTGTCAGACGTAAGCGTTTACTTCCCTGGAACTCAAGATATTTGGTATGACATAAACACATACAGGAAGGTTCAAGGAGGGGGAACAGTTAAGATTGCTGTGACAATGAGCAAGGTACAATAACATAATATTTAAACTTAATTTGATTATTTTGTCATATAAACAGATCAAATTACAAAGTTCTCATCTGTATTATAAATGACGATATTTTTGAGAAGGTGGCTTGTATTGCAAGGTCCAAAGCTTATATGTTAAAATTGTGTTATGTTAAACAGGGCTTCAGTTTACTTAAAATGACTTCTTCTTTTTTTTAAATTTATTATTATTTTACTTGTTCAGTATTTGCAAAATTAATGCTTCAGAGAAAATTTGTAGAACTTAAAGAGGAATATATTTTCTTTGATCAGAGAAAGATTTTTTTTTTACTTGGATTACTCATTCTTAGCATACATTCCTAATTTTGTTATAAAAGCTAGGCTTAAATATTTGGCAATTAAATGCTGTATTACTTTGAATACAAGATGCACATTTTCCCTCCATTGAAAAATTGAGGCGTGTCTTAAATTCAAGGAATTATTCACCGGTTTGCGCACTGTACACGAATTAACCTGGAAAGAACCTCACATAAATGCACTTGGAGGGAGTCATAAAGCCACATCATCCCCCTCCTTTTTAACTGTGCATCAACCCCCAACTTTTAGTTCGGTCATTGCCTGACATTCTTATCGTTCAGGTGTGTTCAGTCTTATTTCAGCTTTTATCCATGGGAAAGCATTTTACATATGATGCCTCATTCAAAATGAAAGTTATTCTGTGTGCTGAAAGGATGAGTAATCCTGCAGCTGGTAGAAAATGTACAGTAAGTGAGTCATGTACAAATGTGAAGTACAAATTCCAAACTGTTTACATGTCTGACAAAGAATTTTTCTGGACCAAGGAAAGGAAGAAATCCTGAGATTGATGCCTCTCTTTTAGAATATTTCAAAGATTTACAAAATAAAGGATAACCTGTAACTAGGGAAGCCTTAATGTGAAAAGCAAAAGAATGTGCTAGAAACACTAATGTAACATTCAAGGCTAGTTGTGGATGGTGCGAAAAGTTTATGAAGAGAGAAAGCTTATCATTGCAGCAAAAGATGAAAGTTGGTCAAGAACTTCTTTCAGAATGTGAAACTAAACTGATTGAGTATCAACATTTTGTAATTGGACTACGCTGAAGTCAAATCGGCAGTGCAGATGAAACTGCAGTTTCTTTTCAACATGCCTTGCAATTATACTGTAAAGTTCAGAGGAGTAAAGCAAGTGGCAATGAAAACCACAGACTACAAAAAGCTACATGTTACTGTCATGTTGTGTATAACTGTGAATGGCAATAAGTTACCACCATAATATTAAACAGAAAGACAGTGCCAAAAGAAAATTTTTGAAAAGATGTAATAGTTTGTGCCAAAGAAAAATGCATGGATGACATTGGAGTTAATGGGAGACTTGCTTGGATGTATATGGAACGTCTGCCTGTTGTATTTTCAAAGCCATGGAGTATGTCTGCAATGGACACATTTTGTGGCAATCCCTCCAATAGATTCAGAAATAGATTAAGGAACAAAAACGCCAATCTAGTGATTGTTCGTAGTGGCATGACAAGTCAATTACAGCCGCTTGATATGTTAATTAACAAGCCATTCAAGCATCTTGTCCATAAACTCTATGCTGCCTGGCTGAATAAAGATAATCATATGTTGACACCTAGTGGTAAAATATAAAGAGCATCAACATCAATAATAGTGGAGTGGATATCCGTGGATGCCACTGTGATTGGTGTAGAATAATTATAGTAGGCACTAAATTGTAGAAAATTACGTGTTATGTCCTTGTTGGCATAGTAGAATGTTCCATCTGTGTATCCCCTGCTTAGTGAAACAGAAAAATGCCTTGCTTTTGGCCTTGCTACAGAGACTGGCATCATAGCAAGCTCTCTGCCACTCAACATGATGTTGCCATCAGTGACAGCTAAGAGCATTCATATTTTCTTTTAATAGTTTGTATACATAAAGTTAGTTTACAAATTTCTTTCTAAGTATCCATGTCATGAGGTTCTCAGAAGTACTTTGTACTGACATTTTACTACCATATATTTACATGCAACATCTATCATTGCCTCTGAGTTGTCCTTTTCTTTCATTATGGTATGTTGTTACTAGTGCTTAGGTGTATGGAGCATGATACCATTTAAATTATTTTCACTAAAGTTCATGAAATAAACAGTTCTCAAGAAATTAACTCAGTAATACTGATTACTGATGAACTCTAGGTAATGAAGTTGTGCTGTAATTAAAAATTTTATATTGTGTATTTCTTTTTCTAGATTCCAGTTTTTCAAAGGGGTGGAACCATTATTCCAAAGAAAGAAAGAATTCGTAGATCATCAGCACTTACACATAATGACCCTTACACACTAATTGTGGCACTAGATAGAAATGTGAGTATCATTGTATAAAGTAACACAGTGCAAGATTTAAGATATATTCTTTGTGATGTTTTGTATGGAATAAGTGCAGAACCCTATGCTTCTCTGTGTTTGTCTCACTGAACGCTTCCCACTTTAGTTATGTTCCATGTTCAGCCCATAAATGAAGTGTGTTTTTAAAGGTCCTGAGGTATTTCAGCTTTCCTCATGGCACCATACTCAGAGAAACTTACATTTTTTTGTTTCATTGGGATGAATAGTGACAGTTCACTCGATAATTTTCCTAGATTTTCATATTACATTTTTAGAGCATGTGATTTTTTTAGCATTTGTTTTATTTATTGCCTAAAAAAGGGCAAAGCTGTCCCAGTAACAGACCATTGAGGTCCATAGGGTTTCGAAATATCAAGGCTCCCACATTTTCTAGACAATCAACTCACAGGTGGTAGTGAGTTTGTTAGCCCTAGGCAGGCTGCACACTGGCATGCGTCAAGACTTGTAACAGTCAAGACATGATGTCAGCAACATGACGCAAAGGAAGGAGCGCAGTTGAAACTAATAAAATTAGGAAAACCGCTGCACACAGGTCTGAGTCCTGATGCTGACAAATCATGAATGAAGCAAGACTGCGTTTTTGTCTCATGTCTTGATGCAGTTGGTATGCGACCGCCCTTATGCAGTGGCCACCCTTTACCCCAGGATAATGCCTAGCAGAATTGAAAGTAAACGTAAGATCAAAAGGTTTTCCTATGTCTGCCCAAATGGGAATGTTGTTGTTTGTTTAGCAGCCATGAGTAATCTGCTGTCATGTGTAGATGTGTCTTTGTGACACTTCTGTGTGGTCAGCATAGTTAAGCTTTAATTATATACAATATTGCAGTTGTGATGAACTCCTTTTAAATAATATTTCTGGTCTTGGAGTACAGAGCTGTGTATAATGTGAAAACATGAACAAAGTAAATTGAATTCCCATTTAATATTACTCAATTTAAGGCTATCCCTCATTTAACCTTTAATTTCTGTTATCCCAAATCAATAAATTCTCTGCATTGAAGATTTTCCTCAGTTTAATATTCAAATCCATTAGTTCCAAAAGAAACCTTAAATGGGAGTCTCACAGTAATTAAGTACTGAAGTCATTAATTAACTTAATACAAATGACAAAAAAGGCACAAACTCCTAATCTTCATATTGTAGTCAGCGAAATATAGATATGAAACCACTTGCATTGCAGCTATAGTATGTGACCAGATTACCATAGTGGAATATTGGGCATGGCTGAGTTCTAGTGAAAAAAATTCAAACATATAGTTTCATATTTATGGAATTTTTTTAACTACTAGTCTTATAATACAAGGGTTGGATAGTGGCAACACTGCTGTAACATGAAAGATGTGTGTCAGGTGGCACTAGCACCGTCTGTAGCTGATAGCAGAAGTTCAGTTGAAGTAGTGCAGTGAGTGGCTCTGGTTGTGTTCCATTGAGTTGCATTGTGCGTCTTCTTGAAGTGCAGGAGCCAAGTTCAAGCACCCTAACAACATGTTTACGAAATAAGAACAACGCTCCTGGATAAAAATTGCAGTTGCATGATGTAGTGCACAAAACTGTTATCAGGGACTGCGAGAAGCATGTGGTGATGCTACTTTGCCATATCGCATAGTGGCACGATGGGTGAAATTGTTCAGTGAAGGGAAGGATGCCATTCAGGACGACCTCATGTTTACAACCACACAGTTCAGCTGCTTGCTTCTTTGCTGGATGTTGATCATCGATGGGCTGCGTGGGAGTTAGCTGCTGAGGTAGGCGTATGTCACAAGACCGTGCTCCACATTCTGCACGATATTCTTGGATACCGCAAAATTGCAGTGCGTTGGGTATGCCATACAATGTTCAAGGTGCAACAATGGCAGCGTTACACAATTGCACAGGACTTGTTGGACCGGTACCAGAGGGAAGGTGATGACTTCCTTGGAAGGATTGTCACTCTGGACGAAACTTGGGCATGCTCATATGAACCGCACTTGAAGCGACAATCAAATGAATGGAAGCGTCCTGGCTCTCCTCGTCCAATGAAAGTGCGCCCTACACAGAGTAATGTGAAGGCAATGTTAATTGTGGCATATGACACTGATGGGGTGATACTGCACCACACTCTACCTCAAATACAGACAGTAAACCTTGCCTACTACTGCAATTTCCTGCATAATCATCTTCGTCCAGCACTTAGGAGAAAGCGACGATACTTGTTGGCAATGAACCCCATCATCATTCATGACAATCCCAGGGCTCATACTGCTGACGCTGTCAAGGATCTCCTTTGTCGCTGGCAATGGGAGACACTGCAACATCTGCCATACTCACCCGATATGAGTCTGTGAGATTATGATCTCTTTGCCAAAATGAAAGAACCACTGCGAGGGACACATTACAACAAAAGAGAGGAGATTATTCGTGCTGTAGGGCGGTCACTCCTTGGCATCAACAGAAGTGGACGCACTGATAGTGTACGACGCCTTCCACAAATTTGGCAGAAGGTGGAACACATGGGGGGCGATTATATTGAAGGAATGTGTGTTTACCTCAGGTAATTAAGTCATTTCAGAACTATAGAGGTGTTGCCACTACTTTTTATCTGACCTTTGTATATAGTGTTAGTAGGAGTTAGGTACTCTTCCTGAGCTTCATGGTGTGGTTTGGCATAAGTAACAGAACTACATCATACTTTATCTAATGCAAGAAGCTAGTGGAGACATCTCACCAATCATATATGAAAGTTGTCAATGTTGTGAATAGGTCATTAATGCTTATGTGTTCTTCTTTTAGGGGTCTGCATCAGGCACATTATATATGGATGATGGTCAGAGTTTTGACTACAGAGAAAAGAAATATTTATATTTATCCCTGGAATTTAAAGGAAACAAATTAAGCTCAAGGTACAGACAGCCTTACTTTTTAAATTGAAGAACTCAGATGAAAGAATAACAAAATGTTGATATAAATCATGCACGTGCGCACACACACACACACACACAGTGATAAATAGTGTGATTTTATTTGTTCTGTGAAATTATTTTCACATGTTTGGTGATGACCGTAAGGTAGCACGTTACATTATATCCTGATTTTAGGCTTCACCTTACTTATTTACTTACTTACTCATGGAGCTGAGCCCTTCTGGAGGAGCCGCCAATTCTGCAGCTACTCAATAATTTCCCAGCATTTTGTGGAACCCGAAGGTTCATTACTGTGTTCACAAGAGCCCTCCACTGGTCCCTATCCTGAGCCAGATCTATCCAATCCATACCATCCCATCCTGTCTCTCTAAGATCCATTCTGATATTGTCCACCCACCTACGCCTTGGTCTTAAAACCAATATATTTGCTAATTGAGCTATTGTGATATTTTTGTTTATCATTTATTTCCATATAGATACATTGATACTGCACGATATCCTACAAGATCTTGGCTGGAAAGAGTTGTGATTTTGGGTTTGCCACCAGGAATAACCCGTGCACAAGCTGAGAGTAAAAGTAAGTTCCTCAATATGTAAGTTTCTTGCCTCGTGCCAAAAAATCCATAGAACCAGATGCATGTCTAAGAAGGCTGAAAGACACACAAAAAGAACCACATGTATTTCTTGAAGAGTTCTGTCTTCTGGGATATAATGCCATTTAGTCCACTGAAAGTCAACCAACTTTTCGAAGGAACATCTTGCTTTCATCTTCAGAGTCAAGGTGACATGTTCCTCAGAAATAGTTGACTTTTAACGGACTACACGGCATTATATCTCACAAGATAGAACTCCTCATAACCATCCCTGTGAGAACCTCAAATCCAACATCTGTATTTCTTGTTGCATTGAACTTACTTTGTGATATTGTATTACCATTTGATGAGATTCAGAGATTATAGTGAAACCAGGGGAATGAGAGAAGAAGCTGTTTCAGCCTGTTTCAAGATTGTATTTCAGCATTTTCTGAGTTAAGAGGAATGCCACAAAAAAATTAAAATCTCTCAGGATAACCATTTCTATTTGGGATTTGAATCGCCTACCTCTTGCATACAAATCAGAAGTTATCACATTTCTGTCGTTGTTACACACAAATGCCAGAGGCCTTCTTGGATACTATATTTTATTATATGATACATCTTTCCACTTTATTAGTATTTATGTTCCCAACAGACAGTGAAATCGGCTTTTAGTTCACATTTTATAGGTATCCAAACTTGATAGCTTTTAATATAAAAGGTAGAATGGTGAAGTTATCCCTGTAACAGGCTTTGGAGGCCCATAGGGTTGTGGGATATACTTGAATATTCTTTGTCTTGAAATTGTTTACATGTCAGTTCTCAAACTATCAGGTGATTAGTGGTATTATTATATATATATTTTTGCATATCTCACTTCTTGCTTCAGGTGCGGGCAGAGTGACTTTGGAAACAACATATAATACTGAAACACAAAGTCTCATTGTGAGAAAACCTGCTGTGAGCATGGCTGAAGAATGGACAATAGTTCTACAGTAGAGTAGTGAATAATTTTCTGCAGATACAATGAAGATGGAGTTAAAAGTAAATTTCCTGTTGTGACCTGGTTACTTTGTTTGTAAATAAACCTACAGTGTCAGTGGAAGGTTTATCAAATTAGTTCATTTCATTTTCATTTAACATGGACTTAAGTGCTTGTAATAATGGTTGGACATATGGATGATTTCATATTCATAAACAGGAAGATTTAACAAGGTACCATCATTTCTCACAACTATAATCACAACTTCCTACATGGTCCCATTGTGTGTCATTTTTTTAAGAAAACAGAAATTGTGTATATCAGGAGATGGATTCTTAATTATGCAACCAAGATGAGACAGAAAATTTCATTAAAGTGTGTGGGTTAGTAAAGTTACATACTGAGTGTAGAAGTAATATTTTTATAACTTTTTGTATTATATAATTGAATGTTGCTAAATTCCACATTTAGACATACACTGAGTTCATCATATGGTTCTGTCCTTGTACATTTTTGTTGGACAAAAGGCATTACTTAGTAAATGTCTGTACAGCATTTTGTTATTTTTCCGATTAGTAGGGTTGAAGACTATAATTTTGTTGGCACATAGACTTCAAATGCAGTTGAGCAGATTCTTTCCTGTTTGTGTCCCGATAAGGTCATTGGATTTTTTCAGTTGACCTAATCCTTCCAGCCACACTAGGCCCTGGGGTTTACTCAGCCTCTAACAGAAATGAGTACCAGGAATTAATTAAATAATTTTCCTGGGAAGTAAAGCACAGCCGGCGCATAAGGCTGACAACCTTACTTCCATCTTTGAGCCGATTGTCTTGATAGTGTGGGACCCTCAACGTCTCACAACCCTATGAGCTTTCACGGCCTCGTACAGGGATAGCTTTACTTTTTTTACTTTTTTATGACATTTACAAATTGCATTTGCAGAAGCCACTTCCACCCTTTCACATTCTCACATTTGTATCAGCGTGGTGTTTGTTACAGCTTACTGAAGAAGAATAGGTCAGTTTAAGCATAGATTTGTTTCACTCCTGCTATAAATTGTGTAATATTACTTTACTATGACACAACATATATAGCTTCACGGTGCAAGATGTTTGGAATTGTTTGGGAACGCGTGTCTGTCCAATAGGAAAACAGTTGTGCTCCTCTAGGTCCCTAATCCTGTAGGATTCAGGGTAATGATGTGGATGACTTAGCTAGGCAGGGATTGAGCAATCCATTCCTTGGTCCTGAACCAGTAGTTCTAATCTCACCATGTATTAGTAGGCTGAAGGAGAAGCACAGTGAACATTGGGCTGTTGCACTGGATATTAAGCAATCAAAGCTCTCTTTTGATGTCAGATAAACTGTCTAGGGACCTATTGGCCTTGGACAAGAAAAAGTATAGGTTTATAACAGGGTTGTTGACTGGGCACTGTATGTTAAAGTGGCAGGTATATACATATTATGAGCCTCATGGAAAGTGCCATATGCAGAAAATGTTGACAGAAAGGTGAATCCTACTGTGTACTTTGTCAGTGCCCAGCTCTGGTTAGGAATATACAGGTCTTCAGCTTTGTATGGTGAATAAATATCAGGACCATCTCAATCATCATTTTGGATCAAGCATTACAGGACTGGGGGCACACAGTGGACCCATCAGTTGTTTGAGTGCTTATCCTTCTTCACGATAATGTGCACCCCCACACTGCCAACTCTGAGGAATACGCTACAGAGATTTGGTTGCGAAGTGCTTCAACATCCCCCTACAGCCCAGATCTCTTCCCATGTGATTTTCACATTTTTGGAGACCTGAAGAGACATTCGTGGCCATCGGTTTGCATCGGACAAAGACGTGTGGCTGGGTAAAGACGTGGTTCCGTAGACAGCCCACACGCTTTTTCAAGGATGGGATTGACTGTCTTATCTCCCAGTGGGATAAATGTATTAACAGTTTTGGAGATTACTTTTGAGGTAAGAAAGTTCTGTAATATGTTTTGGCTTCTGACCCGTTTTCATTTGACTGCCCCTCATATTTCAGCATCCCATTGCATTGAGGCATTATCTGTATTATCACAGCGCTCATCAATAATGCAACAATATTTATACCTATACAGTCATACCTATTGTAATTTGAGATTGACACAAGACCCAGCTACATGTGACTGTAGGAGGGCTTTTCCTACATTTGAAATTTGCCTTGAGATCAGTTGCATTGTACAGGGAAATGTTACTGTGTTTGTTCCAATCGTTCTGATCTCTTATTGGGAAATTTTACAGTACATCTGTACTCCAGAGTATAGCACAAGTTCATCTTGATGTTTCAACTTGTCACTCTACCATATGCAAATTCCTGTTTCCTTTGTACTGAATGTTAGGTATGAAATGTTTCTGATGTAGAGGTTGAAGTTTGGAAGTCATTACTTTCCATAAAATGGCATATTTGTGTGCTACTTAATAGAAACAAATTCAGCATGTATAGTAAATCTTATCTTGGGACTCCTATTAATTATTCCCTTTTAAATATATGTTTTTTAATTTTCAAATTTTGTGCTGTTTATTTTTTCTGTGTACAGCACAGAATTATACAGAGACTTTGGACATCTTCAACATTTTGCAGTGAAAAGTATATTATGGCATCATTTAGGAATATTCGTATTTAATATCGCTTGATGAGGATATTAGGCCATACTTAAGTAGCAGACCTCACAGTGACCTAATTATATCTGCTGCATGATTTAAGATTCCTTAAAGAATCAGTGTACATCTTATGGATTTCAGACAAAAACTTTGATGGAATACTCTACCAATCACTGTCATTGCTGAAGGTGTATGTTTGTATGGTGTTTAAGCAGCGTTCAAGCATCAGCAGGTTTGGTAATAATAGTTCTAGTTTTAATGTAACTGTCATGTCTTCTTTAAAAAAACAAAGGATTAAAATGTAAAATTATGATTAATCCTGTTGTTTTATGTAGATATGGTCTATTAAGGATGTTTGAGAAAGTTCCAAGGAGAAAACTGGACAGAAGGGAGTTGGAGGGGGAGGGGGGCATGCAAACTGAGAACATTACACAAATTTATACTTTCAAAATAAAGGGACCTGGCCGTCTTGGGTATGACATTGGACTGTCATACAAAGGATTCTGAGTTTGATCCATATGCAGATTTTTCTGTTTACAGGTTCCAGTTCACACCCATCACTTTGCTTGTTCAGAGCCCATGTTAAACTGAGACCCCTCTGCCATTGCATTGGAGGTGACAGGTTCTGGTGTATGAGAGGGTACCCCTACCACAGAAATGGATTTTATGCCCTTGCCCAGATAGGCAAGAGTCCAGAATGATTGAACAACAGAGTAGGCCAACAAACAAATTTTCAAAATTAACAAGGTAACTGTGTGACCTGTGGTGGAACCTCTTACTCTTGGCACAAATGCAGTCTGCCTAATCTTTGCCCTTAGTGACCCACTGAAGAATTTTATAGGTGGATGGGCAGACTGCTGCTAATAGGTGCTTCAGCAAGGATGTTATGAGCTTGGAAATGCACTGTTTATGTCAATTAGCCTGATTAAATACATTCCTCATGTTCTTCTTTTAGATTATTGATAAATACAGCAACGAAGATCTGATTCTAAATCTCTTATAAATTTTCTTTAAATTCAGTTTGACATTTCTTCAACTTATTTTATGTATATGACATATTTAGTACAGAACCAAAATTAATTTTCTGCTGTTGTAATTAACTAACCCCATGGAGCCGAGTCCTTGAGAAGCTGCCAGTCAGCTACTCTAGAATTTTCCAACATTTTGTGGAGCCCAGCGTTTCATTACCATGTTCACAATAGCCCTCCACTGGCCCCTATCCTGACCAATATCAATCCAGTCCATACCACACTAGCCTATCTTTCTAAAATACATTTTAATATTACTTTCCCCCCATTCTTCCCAGTAATATCTCCCTTTCTGACTTTCCCACCAAAATCCTATACGCATTACTTCCCCCCCCCATACATGCAACATGCACTACCCATCTCATTCTCCTTGACTTGATCGTCCTAATTATACTTGGCAATGGTAGCGCATTATTTTTTCCCTCCAAATGTTCCTGCGTGCTTCTAAATGCATGTAATGGACTCAATCCCGGAATTTAATACGAATCACTATATCCACTAATACGAGAAATAAGAAGAATAAACCCGTACTAGTTTTAAGAATCCATGGTGAACCATGCAATATGCCCACGCGTATAGTATACTTGGATCCGTGGATGTAATTGTACAGTAACGCTCACATACGCGTTGAATATGGCGGATTGTGAGGAAGTGCAAGTTGAGGTAGAAGAACCGGCAACGAAGAAGGCTAGAGTTCAGGCCGATATTAAAGAGTGTGGTGAAAATTTACATACAGTATTGAAAGACTTTTCCGAATTCCAACAGACACGAATTTTAAGTGATAGTAGTCAGAGAAAAACCATATGCATTGAAGGCTCATTTAATAATCGAGAGGGAAAAGCAATTGTATTGTTAGAAAAGAAACCTTTTAATGAAGAAATATTGAAGAATACTTTGAATTCGAATTGTGTGCTACAGAAGGAATTCAGCAATGATATATATGGATTTTATGAATTCTTTCCCAGCGTGAAATACAGTGGTGAGTGACAGTATTTTTCAAGCAGGTGTTTATAGAGTTAAGAACTTTATACAGTTTTTCGAAGTCCTGTAGTATAAGATGCGCATTATGCTCGTTTTGGAAGCTTTAATGAACTCGTTAAGCAAAGGTGTCAGTCCAAGTGAGCTAAGAGCTTTGGTATATTGATCTAAAAAATATAACAGCCTACTAATCAACTAACTTAGACTATGGAAAGTCCCACATATGGTGGGGATGATGACACTCAAGGATTCCTTCTTTCTGCATACTACTGTATTACCTTCCAAACCTGTCTTGTATTTGTCATCCAATACAAAGCACTTGCCACTAGTAGAGGATAGCACATGATCACCACCAACAATTCTGTGAACAGAATGCTTAAATAACTGGAGGGGAGTATAGGCAAATATGTTAGAAGGGGGAAATTTAACAACTTGAAGATATTAAGTGAATTGATCTGTGGGATTTCTTTCAGTGGTCTAAGTATAGATGCTTTATTTGAGAGCTGAATGAGCCATAGGCTTCACAACACTTCTTCTATTCTACATAAGACTCCGTGGATTATCTTGTGATTTGTCTTGGATAACACATGTAATTGTTATGGATTAAGTATAATTAATTTTTATCTGTTTAATTGATAGGACTTGTCTTGTTGTCTTTGACAGTTTCTAAATCCACTGGTCTTCCAGCCATGTAAGGATCCATGGAATATAAATGAATGTGTGAATGAATGAATGAATGAACAGATAAAACTGGTATAGTGAAACTAAAGCATTGCCTTGGCTGAGACATGGTCATCACTCCTTCCATCCCATGTTTAAATTAAGAATGCATGGACATACTTCCACAGCCCCATATGCCTTAATGATGTGACATTAAATTAGGCATTGGAGCCGCTATATTTTTAACAGAGTAATAGATGTTTTACATTAGGTATATTATTTTTCATATTCAGGTGATTTTACCTGATCTTGCAGCCCTATTTTTTAAACAAAGGTGCTCATTGTTTATTCTTTTAGTAGACCATTAAAAATTCCCGTCTAATCTGCAGTTTGACATTAAGTATTTCTTCCAAGATACAGACCTCAACAGAGTAATACACAGTATCAGAAAGAAGCCTGTGACATCACAGATATGTATACAAAATTCAGACACCTCAATCATGATAGAGTATTATCCTTGACCATTTCAGAGAGTCATTGATGAATTTCAGCACTGGAAATACCTCCAACTACCAGATGGGTTATGACACAGTACTTTTCTGCTGCATCTGCCTACATGACTATTATCTTATACAGGCAAACCTCTACTTAAGAACGTTCAAGAAATGAGAAATTCGTATATGTGAACATTGCAGGGACTAATAAATTATGATTCCTAATTTATTTAACAAACACAGAACCCCATGCTTATGAACATTTTAACAAGTTAACACTTTGCGGACCGCGCACCCTTTAAAAGGTTTTTCGCTTTTAAACATGGCGGACCGTTTGCCTGTTAACAGGTTTTTAAAACACGATAAGTTGCAACACACTATACATCTCTCTGGCACCACCCAAGTTGCATGCAATGGCATAATAAAACTGAAATATTCGCTTACTTGTCAGTAAGATGATGTTGCTGTTTTCTTAATCCACTCTAAGCGATAATGCTTTGTTGCACTTCAAGCTGTATGTGTCAGCCAGTAGTTAGTGTTGGGGTATGGACAAGGACAAATTCTTTTCCGATGAGCCAGCTGACCTGCCTTGTGAGATGCGTAGTTATGGTGTTTGAGAGAGCAGCAGTGACAGGGGAGAGCAAAGAATTGTGGCTACAGACAATAAAAGTGGCCGTAGCTCCGACGATAATGGGAGTAATAACATTGCAGGGACAGTAAAAAATTTAAAAAATCACAAAAATTTAACCCTGATTCGAAATTGAAATACAAAACATTTCTGATGAATGTGACAAAGGCCTGGGCTACAGACCAGATGGTGGCGGCAGAACCAGAGTCAGACACAGACTTAGTGTGACTGTGCCCATCCAATCCCACCCCACGCAAGCCTCATGTGGATCCCACAGGGCGACTTTTGGGTGATATACGGAACCATACCCTCGTGAAAATTGTGAAGAGTGAACATTCCAAGGGGAAGCATCCTTCTGGGCAATGCCGTGTTTGCGCAGTTCACAAAAAAAGGACTATGTCTACATTTGCAAGTGTGTAATGGTACTTCACAAAGGGGAATGTTTCCAGAAAGATCACACTCTCAAGCACTTCTACAAGCATTGGTAAGGGTTCTCCAAAAATTTTAGTTCATAAAATTAATTAGGAAATTTTATATTAATTTTTAAAGTGAACAGTGCACAAGTTAAGGTAGTAGGTTTAAAGATGCCGGTCTCCAAGGTGATTTAAATATTTAAATCGCCGGTCCGTGAAGTGTTAACATTAACAGATTTAACAATATCTCTTGTGAAAAAAATAAATGGAACTTACAAACACGTTTCAAAAAACATGTTCATAAGTCGGGGCTCATCTGTATAATGAAAACAATAGAATGCTCATATTCGTACTTATGACCCTAAGTTTCAGATGCATGCAATGTGGAACAGTGTCGTTTACATTCCCTACAGAACGGATGGTACTTTGTAAGATGAGGCGCCAACTAAATAACACTAATATTACTACATCTAGAGCCTCCAAAACAGTTTATTATACATACACAAAATATAGAATACTCCAATTTGTCTGTGGGAACACAACAAAATCACAGAAACCAACAACTGACTCGATAATGTAAAGCATCACTCAAAGAATTTTTATTCTTATTTTATATAATCTAATTTATTGTATTTTTATGCCAAGTATTTTAATATAATTAATATTATTGTATCCAATTTTATTAGTACTGCAGTTCAGTGGTGTATATATGTTAGCCATGTATTTGCCTGATGATGACTTTTGATAGCGAAAACATGTAGCAGAACCAAACTAGGCACTGACCTTAATATAGTTGTGTTGTGACAGTTTTAATACAGAAGTTGTAGAAAATGTGAAACATGTTATGTCTCATTATTTCATTCTGAGTGCAGTCTTGGAGTTATTGTACACTTCTCATAAATTACCCATGCCTGCCATATGAAGCAATGGCAAATGAACATTTTATTGCTGTCATTGTCGGTTTTTGTTCTTAGGTATTAAAACCACAGTAATATATCCAGCAACAGAGAAGCACATTAGAAAATATCAGTCCCAAGACATTCATTTAATTGAGGAGACACCAGAGCTGTACGAGTCAGTTACACTACCACATCTGCAGAAAGAAAAATTTAGTTTGCAGGTAAATTTTGAAGTGGTGTCAGTAAGTTGAAAGTTTGTGCATTGGTACATGAGTTTTGCTTAGAACCATTAAAATTAATAAAGTAGTAAGTAGTGGCTTACCAAGTATAGTGTTGAAGATATAGACATAGCTGGAAATCCAACAGACTCTGTGCCTGCAACTTGACATATTTACCTAAAAGCAAGACAAATGTTACATTCCTATGTTGTTTTTGTCCTATCATTGATCATTGCTGTAACATTCTTTCCAGCTTCTTTTCTAGCAGTAATCAGTATCTGTTATAGATGACATCTGTTCAGTCTTTATTCCCTCTTTTCCTTTATAGATAAGAGGATTGCATTTTGCACTGTTGAAGACATTCAGAGCATTGTACTGATAGTACCAGAAAGACTTTCAGAAATATAATTCAGAGAATGTAGGTGGTAGAAATGTTGCATGCTTGTATGTCAAGGATCGCATCCACTGATGACAGGAATAGAATAATCTTTTTACAAAACCAGTCTTGTTACTTGATTGCCTGGTGTGTGCATGATGATATTTCAGCCAACTTCTGTTTATGAACCATAATGCCTTATACTAGTCAGAAACTGCAGAAAGCTGCTACTAAGTTCTCTATTAGCGTAAATATATCGGAATTTAATGTATCCTCTCATAAGGTTGTACATTTTACAATTTTTAGATTAGTATTAAATTATTTTAAGTCACTCATTCTATATGTTTCCCTGCTTGAGAATTATTAGTGCTGACTGTTCAGCAACTTTTCTGTTTTGTCACTGTTTAGTGCATTAATAATTTTATAATTAGGTATGATTTTGCTTACATCTTTTTCAGCTCTTTTTTTTTATAAACAATAATGTTCTGCACATCTATTTTGTCTTTTAGCCATATTCATCTGTTATGACCCCTCTCAGTAAATATTTCTCATCATTGGTTTAAAATCGCTAATGATAGTTATCACTTGCTGGTTTTGAGGTTCTCACAGCAATAATGGTGAAAGAGTATTGTCTTATTAGTTGTAACACTGTATAGTTCAGTAGAAGTTGACCAAATTACAGTAAAACTTGGTTAGAGCAACATCGGTTTCTGCGACACCTTGTCTATTGCGTCAAATATTCAATGGTACGAACTAATTCCTCATAAAGCAACTGTTTTTATACCTTGCTTAGTACGACATGCACAAATGCATCAACCTTGTATGTAACGTCATTTTCATTCCTGAATTTCTCTGATATCGTGGGAAAGTTCGATGTGTCTGCCCACCCTCACTTTCTCTACTTGCTGACGTGACTGTCCTGGAAGAATACGACCGCGGGCTGCAAGAGGAGCGTGGGTTTTATGCGAAAACAAGGGTGTGGGGTGGGACTGCGTGAATAGTGCAAGAGGACGCGGCAGGTTGTTAACTGCATTCCTTTCCTAGAATCTCGTCTAACAGGACCTCACATTGTCTACTTACCCTATAGTGTTCCTGCCTAAACCCAGAGAAGTGCAGTAGCGAAAACATGGCAATGAAAAGGAAAGTTTTAAGCATTGAAGAGAAAGTTAAAGTGATTCATGAAATAGAAAATGGAAGGAAAAAAGCTGATGTATGCCGCGAATTTGGTTTGGTGAATTCTACAGTACAAATGATATGGAGAATCCATATTAATTCCACGTTAATGTTACGTTAGTCTGTACTTAACTACGTATTTCACTAAAAAATGCAACATTTTAACTCGGTTTTTGGTAGATTTTTACGTGACTAACATAAGGCTACTGTGGAAGTGCCCATTTCGGTTATAACGACACTATTTTTAGGTCCCTTTGATGACGTTATAACCAAGTTCTACTGTATATGCTGTTGCAACCCAGGTCATACTCTTCATAATATTATTTATCTTGCCCTAACATATTTTATTGTTATTACCATTACATTGCATAAGTACTGAGTGCTGTCAGCTAACCATCTGAAATTTGCCATATCTGGATTATTCTACAGCATATGTTATATTTTATATCTGGGATATCATGCACTTTTTGTACTCTGCATTAAAATGTTGTCTCTCTTCATTACTGTGTGTTAATCTCAAGTTCAAGTTTTCTTCAACATGATTAATCAGGTTGATAGTTAATTGACAGAAAATACTGCCATGGTTATTTGTCACTCCATCACCAGAGCCCTCTCAGATCAGACTGTACTCTACAGGGTATGCCAAAAGAAACTGAGATAGATGTTTGAAATGAATGACTACTGGAAATACTTCCCAGTCCTTTATACCCCTTAAGGATTGTTCCTGTGTTTTCTTTGTCTCCCCAGTTTGTGAATCATCTTTTTTATCACTACAGTCTGTAGTCATTAGTGGAATTTGAAACATTTCCTGTTGTAGCATTAATAAACTTTGCATGGTGCCAGAAACATCAGTTTTGACTTTTATTTGTTACTTTCAGTGGGTCACCAACATACTTGAACATAAATCAGAAACTGACAGAGTTGTGTTTGAGGATCCCAGTCCTGAGATTGGTTTCATTTTGCTGCCAGATTTAAAATGGGATGGTAAGCAGATCGAAGATCTGTATCTGGTGGCCATCGTTCATCAGAGAGGAATCAAGTCTCTCCGTGATCTAAACAGTTGTCATTTGCCACTTTTAAAGAACATTAAGGGAAAGGGAATAGTAAGTGTATTTATGTTAATCTGGATGACATCATTTTGTTGTTTGTTTCATTGCATGAAATAAATTTAAATTTTTAATTGTTTATTTTTCAGAAGGCCATTGAGGAGAAATATGGCATTCCGTGCTCTCAATTGCGGATTTATATCCACTATCAGCCTTCATTTTATCACCTACATGTGCATTTCACATATTTGAAATATGATGCACCAGGTATAGTATTAAGCAGTGTACTAAAATGTGTAGGATGTTTTTGGTATATTTTTTGTGGAGTGGTTATGAACTGTGTAATATATTGTGGAGTGTTATATGTCATCCATTGCTGAGCAACGAAACGATGGAAATTGTTGAGACTGTTGCGTATGAATATCCATAGAAAGGAGTGTTCATTGCGTAACAGTGCTCGGTAAACACCCCTCCCCTCTAGGCTGTGATGTCAAGCAACAGGGGAGTCCATGCAGCGACTGTTGCTAGGCAATCAGTAAACACATTTTCCGTGATCAGGGCAGAAGCTACATAACGGAGTACTCGTCAGTATTGATGGAGTTACGAGTTACAGAGTACGAGTAGTTGAAATATAGCAGCAGTCGCAGGAAGAAGAATGGAACGTGTGTTATACTGAAGATAGCATGAAGAGATTAGCATGTAGGGTTTGTAAATTGTGTAAACCTGTAACAGTGTCATAATTAATTGTAATTATGACTTGTAGGTTTTTATAAAACCAATTAACAATCCGAATGGCATCTTCAGTAGACGAAACATGTCACAGTATCTTAGAGAAGAAATATCAACTACATGATGCCCATGTGTACAAGAGGCATACTATTTTGAGACCCCAAGACGTTCATCTGAAGTTCATAATATGCGTGGTTTGTCAGAACTGCCCTGTTACAGGGGAAGATCAAATATGCTGTACTACCTTTTGTATAGGTATTGCCTCACCTTACTACCTGCTTCCTAGGCAAACTTGCCAACCTGCTACTTCAGTTCATATGTTGTCAGGACCGTTCCAGATTCATTTTAAGATTTGTTTGGTGTCTCTTATGAAAGTGGAAAACAGTTGCCTATATGATTTAAGCCCTAGGCCATTCCATATAAATATCAGTAGTGTTATCTAATGTATATTCTGTCTCAAATACAGTTTATGATGTTTCAATATGCAAAGGATTAAAAACTTTGTTTTTTTATGGATCCGAGTGAATGACTCGGTGGCAGCTGTAAGAGAAATGCATGTTATTTATAAATTAAGCATTCATAAGATAGAAATTAATCTTTCAGTATTGTAACTAAAGATTATCCAGTACATTAGCCTGGCTGTTATTTTAAAGCAAACCGATTTTTAATTCAAGACAATTATTTTATTACTGCTATGATGTGTGTTATGTGCTGTTATTCATTAAAAGAAGCATTCAGAATAACATGAAGATAGATCTTAATCAAGTATATTGACAATGTGATTAGTGTATGGAGCTGTCTTGAGACTTTATGATCGACTTTGATATCAATGGTTTCGAAATAGTAACATTTGTTACAGTTATTTATGATGTTGATAGATCTGTGCTTCCCTACTAATCTGTGTACAGCCTTCTCTCACATTTGGAGACTGAAAATGTAACAGTGTCCCATACAGATGATTTTTAGAATTATAATGAATTATAATGAGCAGCTTACATTTCAAATTCATGTAACAGATTATATATTTGATATTATGTTACTAATTATATCTTCTTTTTCAGGTATTCATGCAGAAAAATCTCACATTCTTTCGAGTGTTATAGATAATATTGACTTAATGCCTGATTATTACCAAAAAGCAACACTTCCATTTGTTGTGAAAGAAACAGAAAATCTTTTTCTTGAGTATGAAAGGAGGGGAATTGTGAGAAAACTCTGAACAAACTTCCTCTAGTTTGTTAGAATGATACATTCAGTAATTGTAGAAATGAGACCTCGTCTACAAGTATGCAATGTTTTCATTGCTACTAAGGAATGCGTAAACAAAGAAGAATCTGTCAAAATTAACATTAAAACTTCTGGCGTGGAAGTGACATGGCTAGCAGAAACTTGTGAAATGGTACAAGTGATAAGTCTACATGACTACAAACTGAAACCTGTTAGTTTGTCAGCATTGCAAGTTCAGAAGAATTCAGTGTCTTTTCGCATACAAACTGAGCCTCTAATTAATATTTTAGGATCATTTGCTAGTGAAATTTTGCCATTTGACCAAAGTTCAGACACAATTGAAAGTGATACTTCAAGACTGTTAACTCCATGCATTTATACTGGAAAAGCATATCAGTTGTCATGTAAATGTTGTGGAATGATTATGTCAAAACAAGATATCTTCTTCACAAGAGTTCTGCCTCTTCCATCTTCAGCACTGTGGGAAACTGGTGATTGGTTTTGCCACCAACATTCATGCTCCTCTAATATGGAGCACTCAGTTCTTGAACCAAAGGAAACCGATTGCTTTTACGGCATGTGTCATATGTTATTAAACCCATCAGTTTTGAATGTCAGAAATGGGCGAGTTCTGAGATGCAGCAGATGCATGGCTTGGTTAGGCACACATATCAGCTCAACAGCAGTTAAGTTATGGAACTGCACAACGTCCTATGAAGGGAACATTAATTCAACAGCTCTGGAAGATTTCATATATACGGTTAGAAGTGCATTTAAGAATTCATTTGGTATGACGTGTCGACTTGTATTGGAAACAAGATCTTCAGAACAAGAGTCACAATATCTTTTGCTTTGGGCCATGGATAAAAATCTTGACCTATTAGTGGGTGGTGAAGATGATTTATCCTGTATGAAAGAGAATGTGGGGAAAATAATAATAGAATGTAAAATGGAGGTGAAGAAAACTATGAAACTCTTATACATGTATCATAAAGATTGTAACAGTGTGGTTAAGACATGGCAAGATGAGTATAATGTTCAGTGTCTTGAAGTAGCAAAGCAGATGTTCACTGAAGGTCTTGAATACCTGATAAGAGGAACACAGTACATACCTGTCCCATATAAATTAACAAACAGTTTCTTTGTTACGTATTTGGGATTATGACATCAGAATTATAAACTTGTGGCCCTTCTGGTGCAAGTCCAACAATTAACCACGGTACTAAGTGGTTCTGTCGTTCATTTTAAAGAGGATCATGCATGCAGCTGTGATTTATGCTTCGTTATTTACTTTAGTTTAATGGACCCTGCTTCATATAAATAGTGTATAATACTAACTAGCCACGCGGAGCTGAGCCCTTCTTGAGAAGCCACTAGTTGCACAGCTGCTGAGGGATTTCCCAACATGTTATGGAAACCAGTGGTTCATTACCATTTTCACAAGAGCCCTACATTGGTCTCTATCCTGAGCCAGATCATTCCAGTCCATACCATCTCCTCATATCTCTCTAAGATCCATTTTAATATTATCCACCCACCTGTGTCTTGATCTTGCTAGTGGGCTCTTTCCATCTGTCTTTCCCATCAAAATCCTACATACATTCCTCTTCTCCCTCAACACAACACACCATACAAGCCACAACCAATCACTATACATGCTATATAAAGACCAATAATATTTTATCAGTATGTGGAGAATTAATATATGAAGACTTCAGACACACACCTTGTAGGACAAATATATATGTACATGTAAAATAATTTAAAAACAAATCTTTTAGAACATTTTAATATATTAACAGCTCTATGCTTTAACATTGAGGTGTTGAATAACTTTTGTTTTGACTGTAATTATAAATTTAATTAATTATCTCAGCAGGGGTCTGTGGCGTTCACCCAATCTCCTGTTCAGAGGGTGTGGGGGGCTCTTTCCCTGGGAGTAAAGCAGCAGGGAGTGAAGCTGACCACTCACTTCCAGCTAGTGCTGAGGTCAAGAAAATATGGATCTGTACATCCACTCCCCCATTGCCCTTCATGGCATAGTGCTCGATTAGTTAAACACAGGGACAACTTTACCTTAACTTTAATGGGAGTAGAATTGGTGGATATTTGACCTTTATAACTGTGAAACACTTCCTCACCTATTGAGCAACTTTTGAACCAAAACGTGTAAAGGTTTTTATGCAATTAAATCAGATTGGTTACATTCTATGGTGGTGGTATTTGCTTAAAGTTTTATTTTTATTTAAAGTGACATTTCAGGGACTGGACTCCATTTCCATCCTTAGGTCAAAAGCCTACTCATTTGGGCCTAACTGATAGAGCTAGTCCCAGTCTCTGTAGTAGGTACTTGCTCTATAGAGTGCCTCCAGCTGAGTAATCCTTTTACCTGAAGATGAAGACAGAGCCCAGTCTTTGAAATGTTGCTTTAAATAAAAGTAGGACAGTGGTCAATGTCCAGAAAGTCAGTCACTGTATTAATACACCATCATCATGATCTCTTAGATCTTATCATTTACTTATGTTTGATCACTATTTCAGTTGTTTCCCAAATTAATAAACATGACCGTGCTCATTACCAGTGTGGTTGTGTCATTGTCATTTTGAAACACTTTATGTCTGTGGACATTCTTCTTCCTTAAATGTTTCCAGTGTCATGATGGTTGTCTGGTACTTACACTTGTGACTAACCAAGTGCTTGGTCAGAGAGGTGAAACCCCCAACTGAAATACTGGGGATGTGATAGTTTGCTGCATGGTCAGAGCTGTTGCATACCTGAAGGGAAATAAACTAATCGGGCCTTTCACTCTGTTGAATCAGGGTGTGAAACTGAGGTGTATGGAATCCATTGATAGCTACATATGCAGCTTTTTCAGTGATATGGAATAATATCCATCAATATCATTTGTCTTTATTGAGTACAATATGACTGTTTTTTGCAAAGAAGGAATGTGACATAAAAAATCTAAAAACTTCAGTCCACTTTCAAAAATAATAAATTCCCTTCTGGAATTATGATCCTATCAACTTTGATATATGTATAACTCCAAGTGCTTTCCAAATAATAGTAAAATTTATGTGTATTCACAGAAGTAACATATATTCAAAATTATCGAACTTTGTGGCAACTTTGAAACTAGTAAAAAAAAAAAAGTAAAGCTAACCCTGTAATGAGTCATGAAGGCCCATAGGGCTGTGAGACATTGAGGGCCCCACATTATCTAGCCACTCGGCTCAAAGATGGCGGTAAGGTTGACAGCCTTACGCACCAGCCACGCTTTACTCTCCAGGAAAATTATTTAATCAATTCCTGGTACTCATTTCTGTTAAAGGCTGAGTTGACCCAAGGGCCATAGTGCAGCTGAAAGGATTAGGTCAATTGAAAAAAATCCAATGACCTTATCGGGACTTGAACCCGTGACCTTATGGCTTGTAGCATAGTGCCTCAACCAACTATGCTACTGCGTGCCCCACTTTGAAACTGGTACATAAAATAATCCAGTAACCTAAGCAAGAAACTGTCAGAAGCAGGTGGCAGCTTACTGGCTACTTCTGGTGGTTTCTTACTTGGCTTACTCTTTTACCATGAAAATGGAGGCTGTATGTGCAATACAAATTTCTTTTTTCTTCCCAGTTGATATTACAACCCAGAAGACATACCCTTCATAGTCAGTACCTACTGCAGTCATTAAATAGACTGACTCGAAGCTGCTGAGTCATGTCATGTGATCTGAAATGCGCTAAATCACCAGTGTGTGCAAGTTAACACAGAAACTTAAAAGTTGTCGGAGGAAACTATATGTCATACATGTTGAAACCAAGCATGGTATAAGGTGAAGTATTTTTTTTTACCATTGTGCAATGTGATAATGAAAACTATGCAGTGGAATGTTAAATAGGAAGGGAAAAATGTAATCGGAAATAGTTATGTATGCTAGTGATCTTGGGCTGGAATAAAAACAGAGAGGAAGAACTGAACTACTGAACTTATAAAATCAAATATTGTGAACTGGTAATAAATACTATGCCTACTATGTATATCCATATATTTATAAGTCTGAAGCTTGTATTAGCAAGTGACCAAGTATCAAAATACTGAAATAAAAGTAACAAATTTGCATTTTTGGAGCAAAATAAGGGGTTCTGGAACAATTCAGAACTGTGTCCCTATATTTGGAAGCCTGAATCTTGATATTCTATATGTTAGCAAGTAGTTGCAAATAGGAACAGAAGATAGAGTTGTAACTGGGAAGGTACTAAGGAACACCACAACGACCCCAATTAGGATGGCCGACCTTGGATGGGAAAAAAACCTGGGACCAGCCAAATACAAAACAGAAATTATAACCAGATAAACTTGAAATTTAATGACTAATCATATTGATTTTGAGACATGAGAAGGGATATTTAAATAAGATTTCCTCCATTTCTTCAGTGTAGTACCAGATTTGCACATCTAGATGTTATGACTATAGGTGCACCCTAATTTTATAGTAGAAAATTTGGTACCTTTGATTTCACATGCAAATATCTTTTTGATGTTTACGCTAAGAATTGCCATTCCCTTTAAAATCACAAACGTTTTTTAATTGTAGTTCATAATCAGAGTGGTTCATTCTATTTATGTTAAGAAAAATTCGGCTTGATATCTGGATTAAATAATCCCTGTTTATTAAAATATTTTACATCCTCGCTCGCCGATTTTTCTACCTCGAAGATGGGCACGATAAGTTCCTCGGAAACGTCGGTTCACACAAATTGTGTGCGGCCACAAACCCCAGAAGACTGCATTCTTCGTAGTCACCGCCGTGAAAAACGCCAAATATTAGTGTGCCTCCCAAAGAGAAAAACGGCAACTTGGTCATCTCGAGGCGCTAAGTTTCTGACAGTATTGCCACGTGTCCGGGTTTCTGTGACATAATTAGGCGAAGCTGTTATTTTGGATAATTCGTTTACAATCACATTTCCAGTCACTGAAATAGCGTCTTCCAGAAGATGCGACCTGACTAGTCCGTCGTCTCTCACGTTTCTTCTTCAACGGTGATTTACTCTTCCACCGCCATTCACAGCTATTCTCAGTGGAGTGTCTTGGCTCTGCTGGGTCCTTCTTTTCCCAGCTCTGCTCCGTTCGCCACTGATGTAACCTCTGTTCACAGTTCTCCTATTTTCTCACCTATTCTCAAAGTCACAGTTCTCCTATTTTCTCACCTATTCTCAAAGTCACATTGCGATTGACGGTCAGTCAAGAAGACACCTTCTTGAAGGGTTCAATTTCCATAACGGTTGTCTCGGGAGTGTGTTTTCAGTTTTAGGTAACACGTTGATTTTATCTGTAGCATTTTTGTTTTTGAAAAAAATATTCATACAAAAAGTAGGTATTGCCGATCTCTAGCTGTTGATTGTAGCAGGGACAACGTTTATTGAGTCGTTGCCCGGCAACGGACGTCTGTATGCGCTATTTGAGAAACGTATTTTAGCAAGCCGTTGTCTAGCAACGGACGCCCGCTCTCACTCAGGCGATACGCCACAGTGTGTTATTTGAATTGTATGTAATCCGTGGTCCGGAGCGGTCCAAAGCAATATGGCTTCCTCAAGAAAGAAGCAAGATGAGAAACACCTAAAGATTTTGCGTGAATTAGTGTCGTTACCTGCAAATAAACAATGCTTTGATTGCCACCAGAGGGGACCAACATATATTAACATGACTATAGGATCTTTTGTCTGTACTTCATGTTCCGGTATGCTGTAAGTATAATGCAAAAATTCGTGTATGAATTGCATGTAAGTAGGGTATGTACACTTCAACTGTGCATGAAAAACACGAACCAAAATTACATACAATTAATATGTTTTTAGTGTCATTGTAATGCATAGTGGCTACATCAAAATTTGAATTCATAGAAGTGATGCATGCTTCTAATTCTCGAGTTGACATTGATCAAAATGTACGTATGCAGTTGCAAAGCACAAAGTACACGAAAATTTAGATGAAGGGTATTTGTATCAAGTTTTGTAATTTATTCAGTTTTGTTCCGACAGTATTGTTAACAGTATCTGCATCTGAGACGTATTTCCCAGTGTGTCACTAATGATTTCATTTACATTGCGTGAGAGAGGATACATTTGAAAGTACAAATTATTTGTGTTTTGTGACATGTTCATGAATGGAAGTTAGCTTTGGTATAATTTTACAACATGATGACCACTTAGATACTTTGGTATTTGTTTGGAATCAGAAATAAAGCCCAAATTCATTGACAGTTTGTGAAGCTTATGTAGGGTCAAATAATTGTTCGGATTTGTAACTGTAATAAAGCCTGAATTCAGAAATGTTTATATTTGATCACAGTATTGTCACTCAAATAGGTCGTGTCACTAGGAATTTAGTAAAAGGACAGAGCTTCTCTACTTGTTATACTAGGTATGAAATTAAGTTTATTGGTTGCATTAGCCAAGAATGTTTATATATGGTTACCAGAGTTTTTGTATACTTTGAAATGTAACACTTAATATTACAGTTTTTAATTTACTTGGGTAGTTTAGTTAATCTTGTTTCTTCAGATATATTTGCAGTACATTAACAGACAAGCTAGAACAAGCGCATGCAGGCCACTTTTCAACTGATGTGATATTAACGCTCTGTGATTTCTGTATTTCACACTGGGGACACAATCTGTTGGAATCTGGAGGTTAGGGATCACATTTGTATGGCCAGTAATATCCAAAGAAATTGAATAATTTAGCAGTTGTTCACATATTTTAATATGTGATTAATATTTTATCGGCTGATGTACAGTAACTGATTTGTCCTATATCATGTAACTATGATCTATAGAGACGAAATAAATAAATAAATAAAATAAATATATTGTCAGACAGAAATACAACAGTTCTAACACTTCAAAGTACATTGTATAGACTGATTAAAAAATTCAAACAAATTCTGGTTGAGAACACTGCATGTCAGAAATGAATATCTTAACCCAACTTTTTTATGTGAATGGGACCTGAGATTATAATTTACAGATTTTCTAGACATGTGGAGGAAAGAATTTTTATTTGTATTTTAGCATAATAACATGGATAATCTTGAAATTTCGACACTAGAGCGTGTGAAATGAGAAGATACTTCAAGAAATAGAAGACATCTAGAAGCAGGATAATAAGATTAATTGATCACCTCATACTTTGGAAAACTAAAGATCGCGAATTTCTTGTGCTCTGTGCTTGAATTGCATGTGAGAACCATAATATGAATAAAGAAGGAAAGCTTATATTTTCTGAGTGGAATTGATATGCTCACATAAATAAGAAGCAAGTTGTTAATTGGCTTAAGCATTATGAGAGGTTTTAGTGGTTAGCTTGTGAAATGGTTATGGATTTGCCCTCTACTTCTTAATGCAGTTTCCTTCATCCACACACTTCACACTTGACTTCACAGCAGCATTACCATTTCCATTGCAGAAATCATGTATGGAATGCATGTTGGCATATTCTTTGTTTGTAAACATGTTAGGCATTTTGACTATGACCGCACTGCAACACTACACAACAAAACTTGCCTAGGCAGTGTTCAAGTAGTAACTTAGTCAAGTTACAGCAGTTCCAGCTCACTCCACTAACACTTTCCTATGTACACTGTAAAATTTCAATTGTTTTTGTTCTCTCCCTGGCTTGGTTATTACAGTGTGGCTGTAATGGTGCACATTTGGTCACATTTCACATTATCATAGTATAAAACTCACAAGCATGGCTTTAGTTTACATTGTAATGCCATGTCATATATGTGAATCTACTAACCTTTTGTCCAGTGACAATCGATCCTGTCATTTTCTTGAAACAGTTTTGTTATACTCCTCTGTGTCCTTTTGTGAAAGATGTACAGAGATCCTTTCCCTGTTGTCAGTGGTTGTATTACTTTGGTATCCTTGAAGGATTGTAATGGACCTTGCAAGATGTATGAATTTGACAAGGCAGTCATTATTGTCATCTTTTTTCCCCCTTCACAACACTGACCTATGACTTCTCACCACATGCAAGTAACATTGCTGTACAGGGCAATGTCATTGTAAGCACTGTGAGTAGGCTCTAAATACTACCTTAAGGCACATGTGTCAAAGAGCCTACTTGAACCAGAAACTTGGAAAACTCTCACTGTGTTGCAGTTTAATGGAATGCAGCAGTGTAGCTGTGTTCGGAATCTACGTGCAATTACCGAAACACAGTTCTGTCAATTTCTGTAATGTCTGACTGACACACATACAAACAGAAAAACAAACTCCACGATTTTAGTCCACAAGCGAAATATACTGACCAAGTTACCTCCACTTGTCGACGAAGTTAGTGCCCACTTTAGCAGATAGAGGGTGTCGTGTGGTCAGCACAACGAATCCCCACAGCCATTAATTTCAGTTTGCTAGACCAGAGCTGCTATTTTCTTGAAATAGCTCCTCAGTTATCCTCACGAGGCTGAGTGGACCCTGTTCCAGACCCACTACTTCTCAGAAAATCTGGTAGCGTCGGGAATCGAACCCAGACCTCTGGATCTGTAGCCAGGAACTCTGACTACTAGACCACAGAGGTGACTGACACACATAGCAGTATATTATTCCTTGAATGCTTTCTTGTGAAAATTCTTAGAAATCTTTGGGTGTGAATATTTGCTTATTGTAAGGATGTTGAAAACTTTGTTGTGCCACCTGCAGCAACACAAGAACCTTTACCAAAATTGGTGGCAAAGAAATGTCACTGTGGCAATTCCAGAATCATATGATTTACATCATCATATTGTCTTTCAAAATGTGTGACTGTATCTAGTATGATTATGGCCTGCTCTCTGTGTTTAATGGGGCCCAACAGAGCAAATTCCCTTTCCTTCTAACTTCAGACTGAAACAGAACCAGCCTTTGAAACATACTTTTTATACAGCCAATGGACAGTGCCTAAAAATGTCTTTCATACTACTGTAAGGGAGTATATAGGCTGTGCCATAGCCCAGGCAGGTAGTCACTGAATTGTCACTGCAGTGGCCTGGGTTTGATTCCAGTGCAGGTCATATGGGATTTGTGGTGGATGGAGTGACATTGGAGCAGGTTTCCTCTGAATAGTTTACTTTCCCATGCCATTTCTTATTTCACCAGCTGCTCCACATTCATCTGTCATCATCCAGGACTGGTACAGTAGGCCTAGTAGTGATCAGCATACCAAATGGACTCATTCTCACCCCACCTTATGAATTAAAAAAAACTAAGGGAGCAAATAATAGTGTTGAGAAATTTGCAAATATGTAATTCTGGTGTTGAAAGAATCTGTTTTGAATCTTAAATTTAAATCAAAACCCATTTATATTTACAGTGAAAAGTCTAAAACTGAGGATAATTTTGTTTCAGGCGTGGTTTAACACCGCCACACAGGGTGAAGTCTATATCCATGGCAAGTTTCAGTCCAGAAGAAGTTGAATTAATAAAATCTCGAGGAAATGATGTACGTAGCCCTCATTTTGTCATTCCCTAAACATGAGACAGGATTGTGCTAAGTATTAATGATTTAACAGAAATGAGACAAAGTTGTCAGATTTTGGAAAATAATATCTGGGAGGTTTCAGTGGGTTTTTTTAATGAGGAATTATTGTTTGTGTGTTAAGAGTATTTAATGGTTCTATATATAGCTCAGTCAGTAGTGATTGGGCTATGAGCTGGATGGCCAGGGAATTGGAATGGGCAAAGATATTTCTCTTCTCTATGGCTTCCAGATTTACTCTGGGTCACTCCCACCTCTCTTCAGTGGATGCTGTGCATCCTTTTTATGGGGATGAAGTGACCAAGTCATGAAGCTGACCACTCATCTCCATCTAGTGCTGAAGTTAATACTGCATGCTTCTCCTGGAGTGGTGCTTAATTGAGTAGAGGGAATTTATTTCTTACCTTCCCAATGATACTTGATGTTTATGAGGCCCAAATTCATGCTAATAAATCGGTACTGGCGAGGGACACAACCTCTTTCATGAAGAAGCTGCCACTGTAACAGTAGGAGTAGCAGAATCTACATCATGAATGTTGTGCAGGCAGAGAGTAAGATGGTCTGTAGGATGTTTTGCCAAAGATAACACTTGATTTCTTTCAAGTTGAGACTGGATCTCTAGAAACACGTATATTAATTTCATTAGCATTAATGCAGTACATGAGAGTGTATAACTAAAGATGATACATGTTTCAGACTATTATTGTTTAAGTTCTAAGAGCAATAATTTACATATAAACTCATTTGTAATATACTTTATTGATTTCTTTTTAGAATTGTAGTAAAAGAACATACCTGTTATTTCAAGGGTTGTAACAGGCCCAGTGAACCTTACAAAATTGCCTAAGCTAACATTATAAAGTTATTTCCTGTCTCAGTCCTATTCTGTAGAAGAATTTGTTGTTTAAGTGATCATGTATTCTAAATTTATGAAGGAAATATTTTTTTCACATAGCTGTTTCGTTCTCTATTACTTAATAAACTTATATGATCTGTATAAATAGCTGTGATAATTATATGCGCATGTGCACACACACACACACACACACAGAGTGTTCAGCTGTAGAGGAAACCTGACAGCAGCATATAGCACATGGAACATTTCTCAACGCCCTTCCCTGCTAGCAAGAGTGCAGTCATGTTGCTGATTCCCTCACATCAGTTTCTGTACATACACACATTTATAGGAATACTGTAAGAAGATAACACAAACTTACTGTACTTTATAACAGGGGCTGAAGGTGACTCTCTTCTGCTTGCAGACATGCCTCACATCACATAAATAAATGATGCAACACTTTTTGAAGTCAGTCCACAGTAATTGAACCAGTTACACATGTTATTTAATTCTGTAGAGCTTCAGTGCTGCATGGATTATTCTTGTAGACTTTTCCCTTTAGGTTTCTCCAAAGATAAAAATCACAAAAACAGATCTGGGAGGCCACAGTCCCCTGCTGATTATTTTGTCTTCAAACACTTCCCACATTGCAACCATGGTTGCATTAGCCGTATGTGCTGTAGCATTGTCGTACTGAAAATACCCATATTGTCTTTCTTCTGCAGTCAGCTGATTGAAGAACAGATTCAGCATATCATTAACATAGCCGTCAGAGTTCATGGTTTCATGGAAAAGTAAGGGGCCAATGATTTGCCATGGACTTACAGCACACACACTGCCACCTTTTCACTATGTAATGGCACTTGCTGTATAATGTGAGGATTTTTGTCGCTCAATATTCTTACATATTATGCATTGACATGGCCACTAATGTGAAGCCATGCTTCATCAGTCATGAAGAGAAGCTGTGGATCCACAATTCCATCATGCACATTTTGCAGCAGCCAGTTGCAAAAACGAATTCTTGCTACGTAATCTGGTTGTTTCAGCTCATACACAACTATTATTTTATACGGGTGAAATTTGATTAATTTTGTGTCTGTGAAAGCAAATCCTAGCGAAACACTGGTTTCACGTACTATGCGTCTTAATGATTTTCAAGGATGGATCTGTAGTCATGCCTCAATATCCCAAACCTTTTCTTCAGTCAGCACAGTCCTCTTGTATTGCTTCTTTATGTCACACACTGAACCTGTGGCCTGCCACTTTCACAACCTTGGATACACACAACTTTGTGGGAACTGGTGAGTCAGAATATTTATGACATGACTTAAAAATACATTTTCTGTAAGTTTTTTCATTGCAAACGTTTCAAGAATAAACACACGCTGTTCAGTAATGAACTTCATTTCAGTATAAATGTCGGCAACCTATCAACACCTCTAACAAAGACTGACTATTAATGCGACTGCAGTGACAAGATCAGACCACCTGACTGTGTGCATTTATCAGTGCTAATGACTCATTCGTCTATCAGCAGTTACAGCAGCAATCTGTGAGAAATGTTGTGTCCGCTGTGCTCTGCTCCCAGGTTTCCTCTATCACTGAACGCCCATTATATATACAGTAGAACTTGGTTATAACGTCATCAAAGGGACCTAAAAATAGTGTCGTTATAAACGAATGTTGTAACCGAAATGGGCACTTTCACAGTAGCCTTATGTTAGTCACGTAATAATCTACCAAAAACCGAGTTAAAATGTTGCATTTTTTAGTGAAATATATAGTTAAGTACAGACTAACGTAACATTAACATGGAATTGCCCAAATGTGTAGTATCAAAGACATATTACAGCGTTTTTCACTGACAATACACACAATATTTCACGGATCACTTTAACTTTCTCTTCAATGTTTAAAACTTTCCTTTTCATTGCCATGTTTTCGCTACTGCACTTCTCTGGGTTTAGGCAGGAACACTATAGGGTAAGTAGACAATGTGAGGTCCTGTTAGACGAGATTCTAGGAAAGGAATGCAGTTAACAACCTGCCGCGTCCTCTTGCACTATTCACGCAGTCCCACCCCACACCCTTGTTTTCGCATAAAACCCACGCTCCTCTTGCAGCCCGCGGTCGTATTCTTCCAGGACAGTCACGTCAGCAAGTAGAGAAAGTGAGGGTGGGCAGACACATCGAACTTTCCCATGATATCAGAGAAATTCAGGAATGAAAATGACGTTACATACGAGGTTGATGCATTTGTACATGTCGTACTAAGCAAGGTATAAAAACAGTTGCTTTATGAGGAATTAGTTCGTACCATTGAATATTTGACGCAATAGACAAGGTGTCACAGAAACCGATGTTGCTATAACCAAGTTTTACTGTATATACACATATTTGTACTTGTATCAAGTACTGTATTTGTATGATGACAGTTGTACATCATTGCACTAGTCTTATAAAGAATATGTGGAATTTAAATAAATTGTAATTGCATTTTTGAAGAAAAATAAGAATATCACTATCTCTAACACCACCATCATCCAACTTTACTTATGCTTAAATAAAGTTGATGCAATTGATGAGAATGTCCTCTGCTTTATCTCTACTTCAGCATAAGTAGATTTCATTTACTACTGAATAGGGTAACAGATTATTTAACACATTGTATAAAACTTTTGTGTTTTGTGTGAAGTGTGTAATTGTATGTTTCTAATCATTTAGTATTGCAGACAAATCTGGTTGGGGTTGTATGATGTCAATCATGTACGAGATACTAAAGATGAGCAGCAAATAAAAGATTTTATGGTAGCAAAATATGAAAAGAAGAGGTAAGTATTTCTTGATCAGTTCTTGGGTTGCATAATTAACACTTTTTGTTGTGTATGTTATGTACCACACCATGGTATAATGATTTAGACAGGAAAGATTTCTGTAGGGACTGCTCATCAGCTTCAGAAACCTTAGGATATTTGATGTTTGGACTAGGATTTCAATCTGGGGACATAATATGAAGTAGGACTGATATCCTTCAACCCATAACATTTGGTGGGCATTTCTTTGTGAAAAATATATAAATTTAAATATTCTAAACAACATATGATCTGTTTAATTTCATTTGGTAGTTACGTTAACTGAGTCCCTTGTCACTATGACATGTTCTCATATTACAGGTGGAGTAGGTGATCTCATTAGTATGTACTTACTATCTTGTACAAAATTCCCTTTTGGCTTGAGCACCTGAAACTTTTCTGGTGATTTTTGCATGCTCATTGCTTGAGTTCACAGCAGATCAGTTGTATTTTCCCAAATTACAGTTGAGCACATGAACATCTGTTTATACTGCTACTGTTAGTATCTTTTTTCTACATCTGTGACTTATTACAGGTATTACCTGGAGCCATCAATTGTTAAGAATAATGGCTCTGCTGGGTTTTCACCACCAGGAACTCAAACCCACTCCCGTACAAGCACACCTACACATGCTTCTTCTGTTACTACACCAACTTCAAATATTAAACCACTGTCCAGTCTTCTTGGCTCACAAGCTAAGTCTCTCAAACTGAATGTGCAGGTAAGTTCTTGTCACAGTAAGCTTCCCTGTTGTACTGGATGTGTTTTGGCTTGTATGTTAGATATGCTGCACTGTGATCACATACATAGATTGTTGTGATTGAATTTACTCATATACCTTCTAACACTGACAGTGCTTGTCAACCTTTGGAACGTGTATGTTCGTGTTCTTGTTGTTTTATGTATGATGTGGTACAATAGGCCAGAAGTGGCCGCAGTACAAGGGACTTAGTCCCACCCCACTAGCAATAATTTATGTATGATGCATGTAACATCAATAAGTTGTGGACAACAGCAGTTTATTAGTTCCTTCCACATCTTTCTTCAATCCAATTTAAAAATCATCTGTCTTCTGTGTGAAATACTTATGTATTTTTGTTTGTGGGTCACCACTGCAACCAATAAGCAAGTGGTAACACATACAGACCTATTTTGCCATGAACAGTTCTGTTGTACAGGGTATGACACTGTATAGCCTGGTGAAATTTGACTTTCACCACATAACACAGTGTTACTTTCCAGAAAATAGAATTCTTCATAACCACTGCTGTGAGAACCTCAGATATATGTCTTTCATCAGGTTATACGAAAATGTATACAGACCTCCAGTTAAGTTTCCTGTCATTTAACATTCAGTTTTAGTGATCCGAAATGTTAAATTACTTCAAAGTGAGGTTATTCCTCAGTGTAGTATTTAAACCCATTGCTCCCCAGATAAACCTTAATGGGGTTTCACTGAATAGGTCATGAATGAATAGTCTTTGTTTTCATATATTGTTTCTGTTCTTTGAGTGTTTGCAGTATTTGAGTATGTGAAGCATAGTTGCTGTTTTTCATGGTATTCTAAAGGTAAATCAGAAATGAATGAACAGTCTTTTGTTATGTGACTCTGTTTATTGAAATCAGTTGAGTACATTGAAGCCTGTGAAGTTGGCTCAAGCCACAATGCTTCCAAGTTACATTTGGAACTTACCCAATTTTGATCTGGACTAGGATGCTGACTATCCCCACTGAGGGGTTTAATTGTTTTACCCTTAGCAATATTCGGAATATCATTTGGACTTCTGGCTCTTCATCCTTTTTGATGATCAGTTGTTCCTAGCTAGCTATTTCTGTGAAGAGAGGAGCTTTTGGATTTCCCAAGCAAAGCAATCATGTACCAGTTTCTTATGTCCATGGTCACATCATGTCATTCTTTCTCCAAGAGAATATTTAAAATGTCACCAAGGGCCAGAAGTAGTGTAATAATAAGACTGAGTGTAATAATAAGACTGCAGTGGCCTCAGATTGAAAGAAGTTCATTGAATTATGCATTGAACATGAAGAAGTTATGGACTTGGTAGAAAAAGGTGTTAGCCAGCAAACAATTGCTGAACAATGTGTGTGGCAAAGCCAAGAATTGGAAACATTAAGAAGAAGAGGAATATGATTCTGAAAGCTTGGAAAGAGAACTGCAGCAACAAAAGGAAACAAAAAGTATGTAAAGGAGATTTATGAACCTGCTAACATTCTCATTTTTAAATGTTTTGAGAAATGTACAGTGATCATTGCAGTTGCCAGTCCCGTACCTAAGTATGCACTTATGATAGGCACAAAAACATGAATTTATATCAATATTTGCTGTAAGTTGGCCATGTTCATAAATTTGCCGTGCTGGCTGGGACTACAAGTGGCAGGTTTCACTCTTGTTTTCAAATATGATCAAGAAAATGGAAGAATGGACAGATAGGCAGATACATCTTGGATTAATGTATTCAATTCGTGAATTATATATGTACTAAGGCATAAGGATTGATACTGCAACTGTGTTTTTACACACTCTGGAATCGCATCTGTAACAATAATAGGATTAATGGCATTTACTTGTTTACTCAAATTAGAAGCTTAAGAATAAGGAATAAATGGAAAATGACACTTTTTTTGTGAAAAGAATGATCTCATACATTTGCTACAGTAATGCCAATATCTTATACTATGTCAGATCCAAATCCAGTTGTGCTGTTCTTATCTGAAGATTGTCTAAATGATTGATTTTGCATTCATTATTTGATGATAAAGCCCAGTCAATAAGATTTTGGCATCGATAATTTGTATACTAATATGAAATGGGAATGTATGGTCTAGGAGGAATAAGAGAATATGGAGAAACTTTATTCAAATGAAGTTTTTGTTGGTAGGACTATGTACTTTCATTTTGGAGACATGGTGAACTTTAAGATTGTCTTTTCCCTTGTCCTTTAGAAAATATGTTAACTGGAAGTACTGAATCAGAAAATATGATGCATTCGTACATGGAACCTATAATGTTAAAATATATGTAGTTCTGTAAGTATTTTTTTTTCTTTTTCAGACTTCAACCATAGCTACAAGTGAAAACATGTTTACACCTGACCACTCCTCAAATGAATTCCTGGTGGATTTTGGGTCAGCAGACCCTTTCAGTTCCTCTAATCAAACGTCTGTCGCCACACAACCTTCATTTGCTAACTTTGAAAACAACCCAATCTTTAATTCATCTAGTAAGTATTATCTAACAGTATACTTAATTGTGTTAAGAAAACAGTCTCTTGCTCGATGGACCAGAGGACATGTTTAAATTGGTCCTTAATGCCTGCTAAGTTCCATCAGTATAGTAAAGAGTCAGGTTGTCTTACATACCCTTTTCATGCTGTATAACACAGGTACAAAATTTAATTTAAAGCCTTCATGTGAGATGCTCTGCCCTGCACATTTTGATAAACCTTGATAATTTCAAGTGAATTAACTAAGCTTTATGAATTCAGCTTCAAGGGAAAGGCAGGCCACAAACTGATATGCATGTAGTGAGCTGCAGCTGTCATAAGGCAGTGGCTTCTCAGGGAGCAGGTACTCCATGTGACTGGTACTGTAGCATAAACTATTAGATGAAGGTATATGATGTTTCAGATGACACTTTTTTATTCAATTTCCCTACCCTGCTTAAATTAAAAGGACTGAAATAAAAGACATAATTTTCATCTAGCAACTGTACTGCTAATATTTTACATACACATATATATTAGCTTTTTAGCTAACATGTATCTATTGTATTAATACTTATTCTGAGCTGCTTTGCGAATATACTTTCAAATTTCAATTTCACTTTTTTTTTTTTGGCTTCAAGTCTGCCTTCATGTTGACTAGGTTTAACAGTAAATTGCCGACTAGATCATTGCAAAGACTTGCATCCCTTATTCAAACAGTCCAGTAGATTGTAAATAAGATGCCCCAAATCAGAAGTTCCTAAATATTATATACACTTATGCCATTTTGAACCATGCCTCAAGTTGGAATTATAAAGAAACTGAAATTTTATTGTCTAGTGTCATATGTGGCCATGAATATTTGAAAGCCTGTAATTGGTCACTTATGGCATCAGATGTTACCAGTATGACCTCAGTTTTCCATATTAAAACACAAAATATTTTAATTAAGAACATGTTCTATTCTTTTCCTTCACCAAACTGACACTTGCTGCTGAGAATAGTGCCCCTTCTGTATCTGATATGGACCCAAAATGGCAAAAAAAATCACAGAATTTTCCACTTCTGATTGTTGCTTTGCAACAGACTTTTGCAGAGGCTTGCTATATTCTAGCCAACAGTAATTAACATATAGATTTGCAGTAGAACTACAATGTAAAGAAAGTCATAACAATGTACAGTGCAAAAATTGTTATGCAGTGAGCTGAAACATCTTCCTGTGACAACATTATAACATTAGTGAATTGTTTGAAGACATATGTCGAGGAAGAATGTGACTTTGTTGATAAAAAAGAAAGTGTTGTTCATTACAAACATTTTATAGCAAAACAGTTGTTTCCATTTGAATTGCCCTTATATATTCAAAACTTGCCTGTGTTCATATTGCAATGTAATTTTATATTAAACTCACTATGCGTTTTTAAGGCACTGTAACATGTAAATTGTCAATAATATTTATGTCAAGGGTCACTTAGAATGACAATTAGAAACTGTGATGGAGCTCCATGTTAGCTTGAGTTCAGCAACATCTTGTGTTATAGTAGAAATTTAAATACAGATATCTGGGTTGCATGAAGATAAGTGGAAATACGTAAATAGATATGGCCCGTCTTCTTGTAAGCAAGTAAGAAATTTGTGTGTTCCATTTAGTTTCTGTCTAAAGGACAGTAACATTTTTACCAGCAAAGCCTTGTCATTGCCATTATTGGTAGCTGCCATTGCATATTGATAAAACTGATGATCATTTTTTTAANAATTACATATATATATATATATATATATATGCGTGGAAAAACTTATTTACAGTTTTAAAAATGAAATTATCATAAATTTCAGTTTCACAAGAACCTGAATTACAGCACCTTTATGTGGGAAGCCAGATGGTGAATGAAAAATACAATTGTTCTTTTACATTCATATTCATTATTTCTACATTTCAGCAAAATATTTCTTGGAAATCATGAATCCTCTGTGTATACATCAGGCAAGGTGAAATACATAACTCCTGCATTGTGCTTGATGTACTCATGTAACAGTTATTCTTAACGCATTGACATGTGCTGTGTAATCTTTAAAATAATTGAGCCTGAACATGTTGTTACTTGCAGACAGTCGCATGTTTGGCAATGTGATGAACAGTGATAATGTTCCGCCCAGATATAACAGCAATCGATGGAGTGAGTTTAAAATGTCCTTGATGTTTTGTTTTTCTGCACCTAATGTGGCATGCTTACACATCCAGAAAAATAGATCTGCCTTTACAATTGACATTCTTATTGTAGTTACCTAAACAGCATTTTTATGTTGGTTTACTGTTGTGTGAAACCGTAAGTAACCGATATTGTGTACAGCAGGAGGTACTAGCTTGGATTAAGAATGAAATTTTTTTAGAATGATTTTCAGTATGTTGTATTAGGTGGGTAATATGTTAATAACTTAGCATGTTCACCTGCTAGTAATAATTTCATTCCAAGGTCCATTATAGAAAACTGCCATTTGATTTGTAAGCTTCAGAACGATTTTCTTTTATGATCTGTTGGTATGCATGCTGAAACAATGAAAATGAAAGGTTTATATTTTGCTGCAAACTGGATTTAACAATATCAAGTTTTTATTTGATTGTTACCTGTATTAGTTACAAACTGGAGTACCTGTTGAGTACAAATCTAGCCTTTGAGTACATTAATTCTTTTTCATTTCTGTCTCCTCTGTCTCCCCCTGGGACTGGTATATCATATTTGTAAAAATTACACATTCCGTGTATAGCAGTAGCTGTAAGTGTGTCCTTTTGTTCAGTGGTCTCTTGCCCCATATAACAGTGTTTGATGATCACAGAATATGAAGTCATTCATAATATTTGTTTATATTATTCTTAGAGTAGGGTAAAATTTAGCCCTTTGGTATTTAGGTCATAAGTAGCCAAATTGAATACAATGAAAAACAAATTTCTACCGCTTTCATTAATTCAGGTATGGCAACCATGTAAACGTATGAGGCATGAGAAACACAAGAAAATAAGGTACAAAATTAATTAATCAATTAATTAATAATAAACTTAGCTGAAACGTTAGTAGGGATATTTATTAATATCATTTATCCTCATTGAAATAGTACACTGCATGGCCTGAAACATTTAATTAAAATAAAAGCAAATGGGAATACGATGAGAGTACTCGTACATCAGCCATTCATGAACTTCAAGAAAGCCTATGATTCAGTTAGGAGGTAAGTATTGTACAGTATTCTCCTAGAGTATGAGGTTCCCATGAAACTAGTTACGCTGATTGAAATGTGTAAAAGATTATTAACGCCATCCAGTGTGATTGATTAATGTTTTTTTTTTTAAACTTTCATCCTTCACATGTTTCTGTCAGAGCGACCATTGTTTGAAGAATAGGACTCTTTAGCTTCATCCAGTTGTTCAGGCCATGTTGTGGCAAGACTACTTTAAGGGATAAACAGATCATATTGTTTCTCCATCAGTTGTGCCTTTCAGTGAGTCTCAGCATTAGATAAGAAACAGGGTGCTGATCACAGCACCAGTTAATAATTTTTAATTTGCCTTATGTCTTGGAAAAGTTTAATGCACAACATAATGACATCAAGTCCTATAGTAAGGCATTGAACTGTTACTAGGAAATTGTTTAATGACTGCAAATGGCTTTAGTGTGAGCTAGCTTCAGATATTGAAATTGATGAAAATGTGTGAGATTTGAGGTCCTTATAGCACTGACTATTAACATGCTGTCTTCTGAATCTGCATAGCTTCGTACATGTTTACCGATGTTCTGGAAGAATATGCTGCCTCTATATTCAGGTATCCTGAAAATTTCTTTGATATTTTTAATTGCAGGTATGCCAACCTCAGCAGTGCTTTCAACTATGAGTAACTCATTTTCAAGTCCAGCAAGAACAGTGGGTAGTTTACAGCAGTCATCACCATTTTTGAGTGCCCAGCCTCCAAAGGAAGACCGCTATGCAGCACTGAAGGATCTGGACAGTTTGATGAAGACACAGCAGACTTCTTCAGAACCCCAGTTCAGTGACTGGTCCACAGGTATGGTATATATTCTGAAGATGACAAAAATTTAGGTTCTTGTTAGTGGCATAAATTGTGCTCCTATATCCCATATTTGTTATTTACTACATGTATTATATACCATAAAAATTGTAATGTTAGGTCCCAGAAATTTCTTGCTTGGTAGACGTGTATTGTTGGAAAAACCTTTGATGTCTAAATTAACAGAACGACTGTATTACATGGTAATCTGTACCCCAGTAATCCCCAGGATAGAAATGAGGGAAATATATTATGACTATTTTTGGAATGTTTGTTAGCAGCTAGGTATCTTTTGACAGCTGTAAATTGGTAGCCATATTTTGTGATTTCTTCTAATAATATTTATGTATATATTTCAGTTAGCCAGTCAGCTGACCTGTAGGGCAGTTGATAATAATTTAGTTTTCAGTTCCACACTTAATACTTAGTTGGTCTTTTTGTAGTCTAATGGTAATTAATTTTTTGGTAATAGAACTTGAAAGTCTGACACTGGTAACACCCAGGTCTTGGATACTACTGTGAGTCACTTTAATCCTATTTACATTCTGACTGCATGTTTGCTTATAATCCATGCTTTTGTTTATTTTCATGTCTCCTTATTAGTCTTCCAGTTAGCTGCTTTCCATGGTATTTCTTCACCAGATACACTTTACATTTCTTGTTTAGCCAATCAAAGATAAGTGTTCCATCACTTGTAACATCATTCACTTAACTGCTGTAACAGTGCTAATTGGTACAGGCTGAGAATGGTAATATACAAGCGGATTCTCACAGTAGTTTAAATAGACAGAAAAATGACTTCACTTGGCCAGTAGATATACATAGAGTTAATTAGGCTACTATACTTAACCAGTGTACACATCACCATTCTGTGTATGGTATGTTTTATGGTTTGTTTTATTCTGTTTTATGGTAACTAAAGTGTGTAGTACGAAGAGCGTTCCGTATATAATGCCTCCATTTTTTTTTAATGAAAACTACAACAGATACAGAAAGCATAATAATGCAGTTAAATAGAGCAAGATTTCAGCTACTTACAGTTATTTTTTCCACATAATCACCACCATTCATTATGCACTTTTGCCAGCGATGAACAAGAGCCTGTATGCTGTGCCCGTAAAAGTCTGCGCCAGCAGAGGCTAGCCACTTTCTTACAGCTGCAATGACAGCATCGTTGTCTGGAAAATGGTGCCCATATAGTCCATCTTTCATAGGCCCAAAGAGATGGAAGTCTGAAATTGCTAAATCGGGGCTATAAGGTGGATGTGGTAGGACAGTCCAGCCAAACTTTGCAATGTGCACGGTGGTCGCCAAACTGGTATGGGGTCTAGCATTATCATGTTACAAGTGAAAGGTTGTCTGCTTCTCTGGCCTGGCTCAGGAAATGCGGGCTTTCAGCTTAGTCAGCCAATGTTTTTAGCGTTCAGAATTGACAGTCTCACCAGGCTCCAGGATATCCAACAAAATCACACCCCACCTATCCCAAAAGACTGTGCACATCACTTTCCCTGCCGATGGCTGTGTCTTGAACTTCTTTTTTCTTGGGGAATCCAGATGTCGCCACTCCGGCTAATAGTGGTGACACCACGTCTCATCTCCAGTGACGATGCCGTCCAGAAACTTGTCAGCTTCAGCCTCAAACTGGTGCAACAGGTCCTGACAAACTTCCATTCGACTTGTTTTGTGGTCCTGTGTAAGCACCCGCAGGACCCACCTGGAACAAACTTTGCGATAATCCAGCTTCTCCAACATTGTTTCCAATGCATTACAGCCGATATTAAGCCATGTACACAGTTCCCTGGTCATTATCCGCCAATCTGTATGGATGAGCTGATCGAGGTGCTGTTCATTGTGAGGAATGACAGCTGAGCAGGGACACCCAGGAAATGGCTTGTCGCACCCTTCACTTTCGCCACTGCTGAAATGCACTACCCACCTCCTCACTGTGCTGACATCCACTGTATCGTCTCCGTACACCTTTAGCAAGTGTCGATGAATATCAATGGGTGCAATTTGTTTGGCAGCGAGAAATTCAATAACACATCTCTGTTTCGTACGCACTTCTATGTCAGACTCCATTTTGGTAGACTGCTCTGCTGTCGCTATCTGTCACACAACAACCAAACTAACAGTACATTGGCGGGAAGGTTCAACCTTTACTACAACACCACCAACATCTAGCTCAGACATTACATATTAACAAAAAGAATAGGAGGCATTATATACAGAATGCCCTTTGTACATTGTCATTGAGTTACAAATTGCTGTTTTATTGTATCTTATTTCAGTTGTTATTATAACATTTAACCAACATACTCATGATGCAGTTTGTTTTTCACTTTGGCCTTATATGTATCTATCACTAACAGCAAAGTGTGTTTGATCAGTATGAATAAAAGGGAACATAACAAAAGTAAAAGTATGGAAGGAGTGAACATACACATAAAAGTAGCACCTATTGAATGAAAGAAAACGGAAGAGGCTTTGTCATAGGATGACTTATATATTTTGGATATCTCATGTATTTTGACACTTCTAATGCAGAGATTATGGACATGCTTTAACCCTTTGACGCGGTAATTTAAATTCCGCGGCTGCGTCTCCTGCGGTAATATATTCAGCCGGCCATTTAAATTTTGCTCGAAAATGATTTATTCATCATTGTTCTTAAATTCTATGAGATAGGAACATGAAACTTTCACTAAAATGATCTTAAAAGGTGGTTTTATAACCTTACCTTATAATATGAGCGCCCTTTATATCTTCAATGGAAGCAGGTTTTTTAGNACAGGAACTTTGCTGCAAGACAGGTATATGTAACGATGACTTGGCGCAGATAAAGTCGTGTCTTATTTATACTCTGTTCTACTGACAACAGGCCAGCGAAAAATCTAACAATCTACAGCAAAACCATCAATTATTATGGGCGTTATAACATAGGTGTGCAGCTGGACGAAACATACACGTCGAACCCCCCCAGACGATTTAAATCCCTGACGAAACATACACGTCGAACCACGGCAACGGGTTAAATGGTTGTGATATTTAATTATATGGGCCTTAATTAGATTATTGTATTGGCCATTATTTTTCATTTTTCCTCAGCATCTTCAAGTGTTGGGGCATGGTCTGTTAATGGTCCAACATCATCCCAGACTGTATTTCTTAATGCACAGGCAGGAGGGTTTTCGGATACAGCTGTTAGTGGCACAGCCAACCCATTTACAGGTACATAAAAAGCTTTCATGTGTAATCCAAACATATCTGACATGAACTTGGTATGTAGAAATATTTAATTATTCTTGTGTTCTGTCATTTCTTAGGCACAAATGCTAACTCTTGGGTTTCCTCTGGGTCCAATGGTATACCTAATAGTTCAAAGTCACCATCTGGTTTTGGTGCAAATCCGTTCAGGACAAGACCAGGTCAGCCTGGTTTTGGAATGAATACTGGTAAGCACAGCACTTCTATCAGCAGTCCCCTGTTTCACGCAGTTTCTAACAACTAGCTACTTGCAGGCACCTTACACTAAGTTTTTATGAAGTAAAACCTCGTATTTGTTTACCTTGAATCGCACTATTTGATATTTATTATAGTAATGGAATGCAGAGTTTCCATCATACTGTCATTGTCTAATTTGACTTTTAATCGTGAAAATTTTTCTGCTCACACAGTAGCTAATTAACATTAACTGTCTCTCATCTTAAATGCTCTGGAATGCTTGTAGATAAAACCTTATTTGCAGCCTTAGTACTCTTGTCTTCTAGTGATACCTGATGAGAAGTTATGTACCTTCTTAATGCTTTGATAGCTCAGTCAGTGTGTGGAAGTAGTGTTAATTTCACATGTTAGCTTAGTTTCCTAAAATATGAGGGCTGTTCTGAAAGTAACCTCCAGTGAGCTATTAACAGAAAAATGCACTGTGAAAAATAAATATTATATACCAAAAATACCTACATATGTCTCAGTGTAGTCAGGGCCGGAATTGAGGTACTTGTCATAGTGGGAAGAAAGTTTTTGTGTGCCTATGTCAAAGAAGTCTGCTCCCTGTGAGCTCAGCCACATTTTGACACTTTCCATCAAATCATTATTGTTGAAGCACTGTGGTCCCAACCAGTTCTTCAGGTAGGTAAAGAGGTGGAAATCACTTGGAGTGAGATTAGGGCTGTAAGGATGGTGGTCAAACAACTTCCAGTTGAAGTGCTCCAGCAGTGCTTCGATGCAAGCAGCTGTTGGCAGTTGTGCATTGTCATGGAGGAGTGCTACACCAGATGTCAGCATTTTACTCCTTTTGCTCTGAATGGTAGTACACAGTTTTTTTAGTGTTTTGCACGCAATAAACTTCTGACATTACTGTGGTCCCTTGTTGCATGAATTCCACCATCAGAACTTCATTCCTATCCCATAAAACAGTTGCCATCAGCATTCTGGCAAGCAAACAGTCTTTGTTTGAACTTTTTTAGCTTGTTTGGTGAATGTATGCATCTACTCCTTTTACTGCTCATTGATTTCAACATTCACAAATGAAACTCAGGTTTCATCAGTGGTTACTCATATGATGTGATTGAGAATTTTGTCATCTTTGTGCCATTGCTCTAAAAAGTCAAAGCTGAAACAATTCTCTGTATTTTATGCACACCCATGAAAATTTTCAGAACCCATGTCAAGCCAAACTTCAATAATCTCACAGAGAACTGTGAAATTTGTGGAAATTCACAAGAAAGTTCTAAAATTGTGAAGTGCCATCTTTCTCAAGTTCTTTGGTGAACACTTTGAAGAAAATTATCACACATTACAGATGGCCGACCACTTCATTCTTCATCATGAACATTCTACACCACTGTCTTACAGTCCTTCACTCATTACATTTTGGCCATAAACCACACATAATTCACAACAGATTTCTGCAGCACTCGTGTTTTTAGCATGCAGAAAGCAGGTAACAGTGCGAATTTCACAGATAGTGGGATTATGAATCACAGGACATATCATAACTCACTCTGTAGAGACAAGAACAAACACTAGGTGACCAGTTATGTGATACACAGTCCAGGATCCTTTAGGACTCTTTTTTTTTTAAATTTTGCCCTACAATGCCATATGTTGGTGAGTTGTGGCATTAAGATTCTTGAAGTTTCAGCTGTGGCTCTCTGTAATTTCAAAGCGCAAGCATCGCTGCATCATGTCTTCTGACCTTGAATGTAACAGTACTATTCTGACGCTCATCAGTAAATGGCGGTCGAACAGAGAGCCAACATCAAATTTTGTTTGAAGGTAGGCAAAACAGCCAGAGAAGTGTACAAAATGATGAAAAGTGTGTACGGTAGTGATTGTTTGAGTCACTTGAACATTTTTCGATGGTATGCTGTATTTCTCCCTCGTTGGTGTCTCCACCTTATCGTGGTGAGGGGGTTTGAGTATGCCAAGGACCCTGAGAGCTATACCAGCGGTAGCGTAGCTACTGGCAGGGC